TTGTAATCAAACGGCAAGAACACGACTCGAGTGCATTAAAAATGGAAGTTGTTTTGCTTTTCTTTAAATTTATGATTTTTTTGGAAAAGTGAGGAATGGGACGATATTGGAGGAAATGACAAATATCTATTGTTGATTTTCTTATATCTAAACACTATAAATAACAAATGTAATGTGGCAGAAATTTAAGTATATTAATATTTTTATGCCTCCGGTTCTGAAATATTAGACAATATCCTTAATTACTTATTAAAATGTTGATTTATTTCTAAAATCTCAACCAAACATCTGCCTCACATCACTTTCCCTCCCTTGTCGATGTTGTCAGCCATCTTTGTTCTTGTTCACTCTTGTAAAATTGAAGAGTATGTTCGTGACCTAATTCCACTACACGCGCGTCGTTTTCGAGGTGTTTGATTTAGAAATCCGACTCGAGAGTTGTAGCTCGTGTTTAAATCAAATACGCCCAAAGAGTTATTGCCCTTTGAATGCGTTTTGAATGAAATGTAAAGTAATGGCCTAATGTGAATGTTTTATGTGTTTAAATTGAAATCGTTTTGTGTTGTAAAGTGAATGTGCTTGTCTTTATGTTGTCTATGTGTTTATATGTTGTTATTGTTATTTTAGGGTTGATACTCTGATTCAACTTTATTCAACTTAATTTATTTCATCTATAATTCAACGTTAAAATCTCCAAGGAATAAATTCGAATCCAACCCTATTACCGACTTGTTTATACTTTCTACAAGAACCGGTTACAAAAGTACCGGGTTATGTACAGTATGTGGCCATAAGTGAGTCATAATTTCATTTTTACGCTATATTTTTCATTGAAAATCCAATTTTTGAAAAAAATTATTGTGAAGTCAATTTTAGCTCAATTTTCATGATTTTTTCACTGAATCATGCAGAATTATTCCAATTTTCTTGTCTTGAAATGAGAAACAAAATATGATACTCAAATCACTGAGAACAAGTTTTAAAATTGCCAAGGCAAAAATTTCTAACCTCAAATTACTATGATTTCTTAACAAATTGAAGTCTTAAAATTTTTATTTTGTACTTCACCTGTTATTTCATTGTGATGCCTAGAGTTAGAATTGTTTTGAAATAATATGGAGAGAAACTACAAAGAATTCTGCATTTTATGGTGTTTTAGTCATAAAAAATGATTAACAAATAATATTCCAATAGTATTTCAGAAAAATGCATTTTTCAATGAAATATATATAGTGGAAAAATAAAATTATCACTCACTTATGGCCGGGTACTGTAGCTTTTAAATATTTTTATTTCTCAGATAATTTGATTTTTTGTTCCCCTTTTTAGGGTACCTGTAAAGTGCGAAACGAAATGGAAACGAAACGAACTGAAACGAAACGAAATCTGCCGAAACGAAACGAAATCTACCGAAACAAAACGAAACCTACCGAAACGAAACGAAATCAAGACGAAACCTGCCGAAACGAAACGAAACAAAACTTTCAGAATGATTATATTGTCTATTTTTACTTTATATGAAATTTATATAGTTCAAGCACCACAGGCTTCGCTTCAAGCTCATACATAGGCGTACGCGTCGGAAGGATATTAAAGGGGGGGGGGGGGTTAACCAACAAAAAGGTTAATGTCTATATAATATAAATCTTTGCAAAAAAGAAAAGTTTGGGGGGAGGGGCTAACACCCCCTCCCGCGCTTCCAACGCCTATGTTATATTTTATTAATATCTTACTGAATAATTTACCTACTTAAAATTGACATCGTTTGCTTTGAGAGACTTTTTTCTTGTCATGCAGTTAAATCGTTTTCGACGTCTCTTATGGAGCCTCTTTATTGCAAACCACTCATTTCTTCCTCCAAAATTACCTCGAAAAAAATAGAACTGTATCGATGTACCTAGAAAGGATACACCAGATTCCAGTTATAGTTACATGTATAACTGAACAATAAAATCAGACACCTCGGAATGGATTACTAAATACTCAAAGTCGCTGGTTTATCCTATGTTTTAAGACATTTGCAATACAACAGTACAGTGACTTTATTTCGACCCGTACATAAACGAGCCTTACATGTAACAACATCAATTTTGATTGATATGTTGTATGTAGATAAATAAGAACTGAAAATAAGAGTAAGATATAAAATTTAGAAAATACTGCACATATTCAAATTATACATGCATAGTACGCTCATGCATAACTGCAGCTGGTAAACATGTAAATACATCATTAGACAGAGAAGGGAGCATAATTTAAAGTTCTACATCAGCTGTCTGAGATAATTATACGATATAACTTGTAGATATACATCATGTATGTTACCGAATGATATTTACGCTCAAATAAAAAAAAAATTACCGATTTGAAATTTAATAATCTAAGCTAATAAGCTAAGGTTTCTACAGACGAATTGCCTCTTTTATATCTATAAAACGCGATTGGTTTTAATTGTTTGATTTACAGAAAAGTCATATCTTAATAAATTGCTTTAAACATGTTAAACAAATATAAAAATCTTTTTAATTTGAAAATTTAAGCAAATGAAAATTATCTGTTTCCTTTGAGTGTATAAATTCTTACAATTTTCTTTTGAAACAGCCCCCATACCCACCATCCCGGCGACCGTAATGTTCGAAATGCTATTTTCTGGCAGGTCATAGTTGACAAACAAGTAGATGGAAGACAGACAAAACACACACACACGCACCCTTATGGGCTGGACCTTTCGACCCAGGGAAATGAAAATTTGAAGTTTTTGTTTCAACTCTCTCGCTAATTGTTACACTTTTACTAGGGTCGATTTTGGCGGTTTTTTTGGTAATTTCTTTGAAATAATGTTTGATATAGGATTTTCAATAATTCTACTCTATTAAAGGTATTGGTGATGGTTTAAAAGGTCGGACTACCGCGGGCTATTGGACTATATATGCCGTAATCTTAACAAGTAACAAGAAAAGAAAGAATACTTGGTAAAGATTTTTATTATATAGCAGGTTATCTTACTACCTAGTTATCATGATGAAAGGTGCCTCTTCCAAAATTGTGAATTTCAAAGCACCTGGGTCAGAGGTAATGTGGGGAAGAGGGTCTAATGATCTTATACTGAAAATGAATTAATGCTTTTAAAAATCTACTCTTTGGTATTTTAAAAACATTTATAATGAGCAAAGACGCCTTTTCAAAAATTGTGAAATTATGTGGCCCCAGGGGTAAGGGGTTCCTGTGGGGTTGGGCACTATATATTGATTATACAGTATATATAAATGCATATTTTCTTTGTTCTTCTGATCTACCTGTGTATAAAGTTATCAAGAAAACACGCCAAGAGTATATTTATGATGAGCAATGGTGCCTCTTTCGAAATTTTGAATTTCATAAGTTTAAAACACGAACCAAATTTAATTGTTGGGAAGTTGTTCCATAATACTCAGGTGACCTACAAGGCCCGCCAGCCTCTTGTTATTCGATATAATGGATGTTTTTTGAAAAACAGTGTATTTTTACATGTCATAAAAGTATAGAGACTTCAAAATTTATAATGAAATTTAGAACACAACAAAACAATATATTGGTTTCTTTTATTTTCAAACCCCATACAACAAAATTCAGAACATACAGAATTAAATTAAATGTAATACATGTATGATAAAGCAGCAATATTTTTGATTAATCACAAATATTAAAGTTTGTGATTTCAGATTATTAGTATTTATAATATATAAATGATTACAATTAATCATTTCTTCAACTGGTTTGTGAGTCATCTAGAAATTATCACAATTTAACATCTCAGTCAATAAATGCTGGTCCTTCATTATATGAATCAGGTAAAAAGTGTTGGTAACTAAACTTAGGACAAAACTTGGAATAGTATGTAATACCTGCTGGGATAATTTTAACCTGTTACTGCTTTCCACTGGATCATGCAAGTTTAAGCAAGGTAATTTTAATAAATAATTCTATAGATTAAATCAACTGATCCTTGATATCTTTTTTCTTTTATTTGGTGACATTTCATCCTATAATTGCTTTTCATTTTTCAAGTATGACTTCATAAAAACAATGAATATTAAATTTTTATTTTGAATGCTTTGTTACCATAAATAATTCATCAATTACCTTGAAATAGCTTAATGACCTTTCTTCAAGTTCATTGACAATTGCTTCTGAGACAATTTTTCTTTGCATAGTTAAATATCTTAAAAGAGGCTTCTAACTATTCACTGATGTCAGAACCCAGGCTGTGGTGGTGGGTGGGGGTGGGGGGTGGGGGGCTGTGTCCCCATAACTTATTTTGCAAAGATAAACATACATGTAATTTAAGCATTGAAGATTAGGGCTTAGTCCCCGAACTTTTCTTGTTGGTTTGCTACGCAAATGTTAACCCCATGTTGCCATGGTAACTATCCCCCCTGATTTCAGTTCAGGGTATCAATACCTTTTCTCATAGAGAGTTTGGAGAAATTCTGAGACTATGCGTGCCACAGCTCCTATATAAAATTTCAAATCATTACAGAGAATGGCTCTTAACCCCACCCCCCAACACACACACACTCTGGAATGTGCTTTTGACACCTTTTCCATTTCATCACTTTTCTCTGTCCTATATTTACCAAAAAAAGATAGAAAAATAAATATATGGTATTAAAAAATGTTTCGAACTTTTCTTGTTGGTTTGCTATCCCCCCCCCCACTCTGGAATGTGCTTTTGACACCTTTGCCATTTCATCACTTTTCTCTGTCCTATATTTACTAAAAGATAGAAAAATAATATATGGTATTAAAAAATGTTTACCTTAAAAAAAATAATAATAAAATAAAGCAAACAAAAATTATTTTATGATAATAGTAATTGTACTCACAAATTGTTAATAAACACACAATTTTTTCTCAGATCATCTCCTACAAACACAGACTCGTGTAGATAATAAAAGCAAGTAATAATGATCAAATTAACCCAAAGTCCAACAGCCAAAAAAAGAGAAAGAAATAAAGGGCTACTTGTATAATATTTTAAATTCTCAACTACAGTAAATCATGGATAGAACAAACACTCATACAAGGAATTTATGTTTACAACAAACTAAAGTCAAACTAAAGTCAATAATGTTTACAACTAAGTTTTAAACTAAAAAGGAAATTAAAAAGCTGAACAAGGACGAAGAATAAAAAAAACATACACTCCAAACTTCTCTGTCTAATCTGTCCTTTTTACACCCAAGCTGTGTTATCCAGAGAAAAGTACATAAAAATTTAAGTTAAAAGGAGTTCTAGTGAAAGAACAGACATGAACAACAAATTACAACTATTATACACCCTGAAAAAAAAATATTTTACTAGCATACAAGAGGTTTCAAATGGGATTTCTGACCATGTAATTGTTTGGCAGCTTAAATATTATGCAATACAATAAAATTTTCATGTGGAACAATATTTGATGTACCAAAAAATTATTGTAAACATTTTTCTTAGAAAGGGGAGAGGGGGGGGAGAGAATGGAATACCATGTGAAAAGACTATCAGAATTTTATATCTTTATTTTTTTTTCTAAAGGTGTGTGTAATTGTCATACACAGTAACAAACATGTAAACTCTTGCTAAAATTTCTTTCTATACAAATAAAGAACAATGTGTAATACTGCATGTAAAAAACACATTTTGGCAAGAAAAAAAATAATCTTTCATAAAGCAATTTGAGTTTCAAATATGAAAATACATATTACATTCACTCCCACTCTTTCACATTCCCAAAAATCCCCAAATACATACATTTAGACGCCCTATAAAAGATCTTATTATGAGAAAAAATATAAAATATCAGGGACTAGTAAAAGACATATCACAATGAGAGTTAATCTGGTCTCCCTCCCCTGCTCTACCACTTTGAGATCTTGAGGACATCGTACACATCGTTCCGGAACACGCGACTGAAGTGAGGCTCGGGACGGTCTCGTAACTTCGTACACGCCTGGACGGTTTCGTGTCGGTTTTCTGGATCCTCGATGTCCCAGATCTCGGCCATGCCGCAGCCCTCTCTGTAACAATGACGTAAACATCATATACATAATCAAGGTACTGAGAGTACTGATAAATGTAGAGTAATCAGGTGGTAAACAATGAGACTTAAATGACAGCCATTCTCATTATGAACAGAGGAAAGTATTTTATCTGACATACAAACATTCAAATGCTAATTGATGCACCGGTGTGACTTTCTAACTGAGCAATCAGCTACATGTAAATGAGTTGCATTATGAGACAGAGTGTGCACTACAAAAAAAAATACTAGGAAAATTCAATGCATGAAAAAAAGCATTTTTTTGCCTGCTTTCTGAGAGACAATATTAGTGCAATATATTAATGCAATATTAGTGCAGCCATAAAAAGTAAAAAGAAAATGCCACCCTCTCTCATATTTTATGAAAAAAGGCCTCAGAACCAAGGAATTAACTTTGCATGGCCTGTTTTTCGATGAATACATGTACTTACTTTTGTTTTCGGAGGCACCAGGAGTTTTCCAGGATGACGAAGTCTATTTTTAGATCCAGTAAGTTCTGTTTGACCTCAGACAGGGGTTTCTTACTGAACATGGAGTACACCTTCATGGTCCTCGCTCTGTAAAACAGACATTAGCAGGATCATAGCAAAACACAGTAAGAGGATGACCATTTAATTCGGGGGAGGGGGATGGGGCAGGCAAATTTTGGAAATAATCTGTGTTTAAATATGCTGAAAATAAATACATTGTCCTGGACAGGAACAGGAAATAAATAATCTCTCCTTCACCAACATGAAAATAAATAATCTGACCCTAAAAAAAATTGCCAGTACCCCCCCCCCCCCCCACCTTCCTTCAGAATCAAATGGACATCCCATAAAACATCATCATTCCAGACTTGATACATGATGAGGTCCAAGAAAAAAAAACTTTGAAGTTGAGCCATCTTTAAAATGTCTGTTTGTCCCCTTCTGACTAAATGAAAATGAAGCAACAACAAGTGGGTAGTTAGGTTGAGAATGTTGTTTTCCCCTTAGGGTAGAAATTATCAACATCATACTAAATTTTCAAAATCTGTTGAAAATGGAAGATATCAATAAAATCATGAAATTTGTTTAAGGAATGAGAAAAATTAAGGGTTTAGGGCTGTTTTTAGCCAGTTGGACCAGATAGAGCAAGCACAAAATATTTCATAGATGGCTTCACATCATGTACATGGATACAAATGCAGATATTCAGTTTTAAAAAAAGGGAATAGTAACTGGGACTTTCAACAACCAATGTTCAAGAGATAGATGGTTCAAATGACTGTATTTAGAATATAGACTTGAAATTCACATTTCTTTGTCTTTGAAGCATTTCATCATGCAGTAACATTGTGTTCTACTAAAACTGTGTACTACTAAAACTAGGAGCGTTCTCATTATGGCTGCATTGATTTTTAAAGACTTCTAAATTTTTTATTTACCTGAGTCCAGCATCTTCGTAGTGAGGATGGTTTACAATAGGTCTTCCTGTACACAGCTTAATGGTCGCCATAGTGGGCATAGCTCCAGCAAATACAGCCTCTATATAACAAAGAAAATACAACACAATCAGAACAGTAGGTCATATTAGACCAGAGGATACGGCCTCTATATCATAGAGAATACATCACAACTGTACATTATATTAGATCAGCAAAATACAACATTATTAGAACTGTATGTCATATTAGACCAGAGGATACAGCCTCTATATTATAGAGAATACATCACAACTGTACATTATATTAGATCAGCAAATACAGCCTCTACATCATATAGAGAATACATTATCAGAAGTGTAGGTCATATTAGACCAGTGAATACAGCTTCTATATAACAAAGAAAATACACACAACTGTACAATATATTAGATCAGCAAATACAGCCTCTACATCACATAGGGAATCAATATCAGAAGTGTAGGTCATATTAGACCAGCAAAAACAGCCTCTATATCACATAGAGAATACAACATTATCAGAACTCAAACCAGAGGATACAACCTCTATATCACTCTATATAACATAGAGAATACAACATTCTTGCGCGTTAAAAAGTCTTGTAATTATGCTTTGTTTTATAGATAAATGTTATGCTGATCTCAAAGAGAATTTATCATTATAACATTATTACAACTGTCGGTCATATTAAACCAGAGGATACAACCTCTATATCACTCTATATCACAAAGAGAATACAACATTATTACAACTGTCGGTCATATTAAACCAGAGGATACAACCTCTATATCATATGAAGAAAATTCAGTATCAGACCATGGGTAGAACAATGAATAGTGCATCTCCATAAATAAAAACAAAAGGTTAAAAAAAATGCTATTGTAGGCATTGTCAGTATGACCTATTTTGAGGGATCTGTATGTTGTGACCTACTCTTCTTTATTTGGATACTGTATTTAAGTGGTCTGTTCTTCGATCCACTCCACTAGATCCTCATTGTATGGACCTACATTTAGTGTTTGAAACTTTAACTTCTTTCTGATTCTGGACAATGTGACCTACTTTTAGATACTGTGACCTATATTATTAGGCCTTAAAATTGTGTCCTACTTTTGGGGGACTGGATATAATGACCTAATTTTTTTCTTTCTTTTTTTGGGAGGGGTGTCTGTAAGGATAGATAGACCTTATTTGAGTGAAGGGAAGTGGGGGGGGGGGTATGGATATTGTGACCTACTTTTAGGGGGTCTGTATAATGTGACCTACTTTTAGGGGTCTGGACTTTGATCCACTCCACTAGTTCTTCTAACGGATAGTTACTGTACTCTCCCATGATGCTCCACTGATGCGTGATATTCTGGACGCCCTCGATGGTCATACAGGCCAGGAGAACGGTTACCACGGCGTAATGCTTCTCCTTCCCTCCTATCCAGCCAAATAGCTGTAAAACAAAATAACAGATGTAAAACAAAATAACAGCCGTATCAAAATAACAGCTGTAAAACAAAATAACAGCCGTAAAAAAAATAACAGCTGTAAAACAAAATAACAGCTGTAAAACAAAATAACAGCCGTAAATCAAAATAACAGCTGTAAAACCAAATAACAGCCGTAAAACAAAACAACAGCTGTAAAACAAAATAACAGCCGTAAATCAAAATAACAGCTGTAAATCAAAATAACAGCTGTAAAACAAAATAATAGCTGTAAAACAAAATAACAGCTGTAAATCAAAATAACAGCTGTAAAACAAAATAATAGCTGTAAAACAAAATAACAGCTGTAAATCAAAATAACAGCCATAAATCAAAATTAAACAGCTGTAAATCAAAATAACAGCTGTAAAACAAAACAACAGCCATAAATCAAAATAACAGCCGTAAATCAAAAGAACAGCTGTAAAACAAAATAACAGCTGTAAATTAAAATAACAGCTGTAAAACAAAATAACAGCTGTAAATCAAAATAACAGCCATAAATCAAAATTAAACAGCTGTAAATCAAAATAATAGCCATAATTCAAAATAAAAGCTGTAAAACAAAATAACAGCTGTAAATCAAAATAACAGCCATAAATCAAAATTAAACAGCTGTAAATCAAAATAACAACTGTAAAACAAAACAACAGCCATAAATCAAAATATCAGCCATAAATCAAAAGAACAGCTGTAAAACAAAATAACAGCTGTAAATTAAAATAACAGCTGTAAAACAAAATTACAGCCATAAATCAAAATAACAGCTGTAAAACTCAAAAGAACAGCTGTTAAACAAAATAACATCTGTAAAATTTTAATAGCTGTCCATACAGTTCATCAATAACATGCCATTAATTAAAAGTCTTAAACAGTATTGTAATTATCAGTTAAACAAGTTCAAACTGTAAATACCATGAAACATGGTTACCTTTCTGGAGGCCAGTAATGAGGTCATGAGACAGAGGTGTGGCGTCCAGAATAACTTCAGCCTCATTATGATGACCGCCATCAGAGTGAACGCAGCTAACTGGAACAGGTGATACACGTACTGAAAACAGAAACAGTTAGATAAATATAGGATCTCCCATGGTTTTTAGTTGGATATGATTTTTATCCAACGAGTTGCATGATTTTTATCTCTGAGCCTTGGCGAGTTGGACAAAAGTCATACCCACCTGCAAATCTTTTTATCCCATGCTTTCTAGTACTTCACAACTGATGTTTTACACTGTAAATTTTTTTATTACCTAATCAATTGAATTTTGTTGTTTTATTAGAGATTTAATATTTTCATCTATTCTGGATGTGTTTTCAGTTTTCAAAATATCAGCCACCGGTAATACAAAATAACATTGACCGGTAAATAGAACAAAATAACAGCGGTAAATAAAATCTATTGACCGGTGACGTATTTCGTCAAAAACGATCCGGGTTTCGAATTTAGTTGTTTGTAACACTGCACAGACATGGTAAACAATTATCTTATTCGATCTTTCTGCATCAGTTTTAAAAATTGCATGATTTTTTATTTAATGAGAGTTACTTTTAATTAATACACTGTGGGATGTGGAGACTGGTCCTTCGGGTGAGACCTGACAACCGAGGTCCCGTGTAGCAGTAGGTGCTCTGCTGGCATGAAAAAGGCCCCTCTCCACTGGGAAGTTTTGGCGTCTCCATAAGAGTGAAAATTTTTCGAGAGGAATGTAAACAATAGTCTATACAATCAATCTTTAATTAATATTACAGATGCACCGTATCTAGGTAAAAATTAACAATATGGTACGGGAACCTTATGTACTGAATATACAATTTTGAACACTTTATACGGAAAATAAAATTAGGTAATAAAACAATTATTTAATGTTGAACAGTCAATACAGAAAATTTAAATGCAGTTGCATCAGTGTGTTTATTGCCCTCGGCCGCTGGCCTCGGCAAATTTAACACACTGCGCTGTTCTTTTCACCTCGGGAAAAATTTTCTGGTATATTGACTGCTCAGGCATTAAATAATTGTATAATATAGGACCCCACTTTATTTTAATTTATCAGGCTAACACACTTAACAGTGAGATACAAAAAACGATATCACAAGAGCTGTTGTATAAGCAGAATTTTTTGCAAGGATTTAATTTTGGCATTATTTAGCGAGGGTGCTTAGATCGCTTAAATTAAATATCTCTTTAAAAATTCATTGCGCTTTATTTGTAAAAGCCTCTAGTTAGCTTTTTAAAATCACTAAAATTACATTTCGCTAAAAAAATATATTATAAATTTTTAAGGACAAATCGCTAAATTTGTGTCTCGTAAAAATTTCCGCTTATACCATATATCTGTATATGTATATATTAATGAGACTGACCTCAGCGTGTGGTTTACTCCGATGCTCTCCCTCCAGAACAATGTCGTCCCCCTCCTCTCCCTCTTCTGTAGATGTCTGTCTCCACACGTTATATTCCAACCTCAACAACTGAAACAGAGAAGGGAGGAACTTAATTACTGTACACATACATAAGTCGACGTGTTTAGAATTTAACGCAATTACCGTAATTTTCGGGTCATAGGTTGATGGGGTATATAGGTCGAAAGGCTCATTTTCAGCCTTAATTTTTGAAAAATTCTAAGATAGGACGAACTTACTATATAGGACGAGGCTTTGTTTCCCGTTTTCTAAAGATTCTTACGCAGATACAACGTATCAACATCTAGAATTACCGGGGTTATTCCGTGATATGAACGTATCAAGAAAACAAACAGGTATTTTAATGAGTACAGCATTTAAATAAAGTTTTTTAAAAAATGTAGTAAACTTCGTTGAATTGTGTTACTACTTATTTTTCTCCAACGTGCCTGTTCAATGCCTCCGTAGTTTCATACTGTTGTTAAACCAGAGGCATAAATAACACGTAAATACGTTCTTATTTTACAGCTATAATTCGGGAAATACCCAGAACAAAGAATAATCAGTTGATTTCAGAACAACTTGGACACATTCCTAATATATTTTATTCATTATTTACCGGTGGACGACAATCGCTTAGATGTCCGCCATTTTCAGTTTTGTTCTTCAGGGATTTGCTAAAACCCGCAAAAGACCATTGAATGTATATATAAAGCAACAGTAAAGAATTGAAATAATATTACGCTATAAGTTTAATTATATATTTAATTGAGAGTACCGGTACATTCACAATTTGACCGTCATTATGAATTTCATGGCTTTGTTTGTTCAATGATGTGTAATGCAATTGGACACTAATATTATAACGGCACGTGGATTTGCTAATCATGCCCTGCGGGTATTAAACCAACACAGGTGTTAAAACCTTTGCGTGTACACACAGTGTAAATCCTTTTATCTGTGAGACAATTAAAATTCTGTTAGAAGCCAATCTTTGTATAGCGCTAATTCGTTTGACCGGTATTATAATTAAATAAAATATATATAGTAATGACTATCGGTTTATTTGGTAATTAAATTTAGGAATTGACTGGCAACAATTTATTTCACTCATTTTACACTTAAATAAATATAAGACTGTCACAATAAATAAAATTAATACTATTTCAATTTATCTTCTAATAAATGGTAAAACCTTGAAATTTTTTCCGTAATGTAAATTTTGATACGGTTGGGGTTTTACAGTAAAAACGGTAGCGACTTCCTAACTTCAACAACTGGCTACCGCATGATGGCAATGGATAACACATTGAGGAATTATTTTTTTTATGAAGCACAGTTTTTTCCTTTGTCATCAACGGATATGTAATGGAATTTATTTTGTAAGAAAGCTATAGAATAAATATTTTATTGTTTACCTGGGCATTAATTTTTCTGCGTAAAATAATGAAAAAAGTTAAGAAAGTGGCACAGATTTGCTTTGAAATTGACGTAAATTTTATTGATTTTGGGGCATTTTTCGTAAACTTGAGCCTTAGAAAGGTCGAAATCGTATATTGGTCGATATCTGAGAAAAAAATATGACCTATAATCCGAAAATTACTGTACACAATATACAGTAATAACATTTGGCAAAGTTTTCGTCAAAATAAATAATTGAATGAGGAATATTTAACCATTACTTTTACATCCTTCATTTATTTCATTCGTGAAAAGTATTTTTTTTAACAAATGGTGTCCAGATTTTTGGGCACATGCAGTTAAAATTTTGATCAATGTTAAGCAAGATATTAAGTCAAATTCGTTAATACCTTGATTTAATCAAATTAAGTCAATCTCATATCTGTCATAACAATTTTTCAAAGTACAACTTTTTCATCATTATATAAGACTGGTGATTTGGGGGTGGCACTTTTTAGAAGGGTGGGGCCATTGGAAGTTATGGTATAAGATTTCGTTGCAAAAGCTTAAAAGTTATATAAAATATCATCCAGAAATTTAAATTAATTATTATATAAGAATATTAGATTAAGATTTAGTTTCATTCAGTTTTGCTGTTAATGTTAGTTATGATATATTTCCGGTGACAAATTTCAAAGTTAAACAAAGCTGATTATGAATGTTTAGTGATCAAACTGACAGCTCATGCAATTGCACTAATTAAAACTTAAAAGTCCATTTGTTGATATGTTATTACTCAAGTTGGGCTGGTAAAATTTTTGGGGGGCTACCAGATTTTGTACTTTCACTTGCCCTGTGGGCTTGTAGTCAAAAAAACGTTTAGCACAAAGAAGGAGCGAAAAGACACAAAGCTCACCTTGACAGCGACCACTATAACGACGACCATCACAGAAGGGAGCAGTATGGTCTTCAATAATTTCCAGTAAGTCTGTAAACAACAGGATTAGTGTTGTCAAATCGGTTGAAAATCAGAATCGATTAATCGGTAGCATCGGTTGACCCTAACCAACTGATCATCGGCCAATAATCGAAGTGGTAACTCTTTGCATAAAATAGGCATTAGATTTTATAAAGATTAGAATTGTATTGTTAAATAATGTAAGTAAAGTGCATTGTACAGATTGAAATTCTAAAAACAGTATTATATGCAGTTTGATTAACAATTTCAGTAATACAGATTTTTGCATGATTAGGAATTACTTGGCCTAGGGAAAGTAAGCATTGACAGATCAGGCTTAAATATACATGACCATCTAAAATGTATATGGAATTATTTTTATAAACTGTTATAAGATATTTAATATTGCAAATTCCTTGTGATTCCGTATGAAATGACCGGTGAATTCCCCCAAATACTGAAAATTAATATATTTCATTTACACAAGTAGTTAAGTTTCTTCAGTTTAGAAATACAAATATCATTGTCTTTTGATTTATTTAAAACATATTTTAAATACATCTATTTTAAAATAGTAAAGGACAACTCTCGAAAGATATATATTTTGATATCAAGAGCCTGTTCTTGAAATAAAAGTGAGAAAACTGTAAAAAAGAATTGTGCTGAAATATACCGATTAATCGATTGTTAAAAGGAATCGATTGTCTAAAATCGACAGCCTTTCCGACCGATCATCGATTATAAATCGATCATCGTGACAACACTAAACAGGATAATACGTCATCTGTCTGATTCCACATTAATTGCACAACTAACAGTAAAATCGATGTTTGAATCTGTATTTACTACTAACACTTATAACAGGTTTGAATCTGAATTTAGGACCATCACTTAAAATTGATGTTTGTTTCCGCAATAACGACTTTGGCTGTTTCTAAGATTCCGTTATTCTATATTTAAAAGTGAATTGTATTTATAGAATTTTACCTCAGCTGCCAGGAAGTCAAACTCGGGAGCGCAGGTGTAAAGCATGGTGTGGAAGTTGTTGAAATCAGAAAACTTACTTCTAAAAATATCTCCTATATGTTCCTGTAAACATAGAAATACATGAATCATGGAGTTATGAAAATTAGAAAACTTGGTTCTAAATATTTCTCCTAACTATACTGTATAGCGGTTATTTTAGCGGGTTGCTAATTTTGGCTTATTTTGGCATTTTAATGATATTCTGATAAAAAATTTAAATCGCTTAAATAGTCAGGACTCTTATTATTTTCCATCTGTGAAGAGCTTAAACCCTGTCACTGATAAATAATAAATGACACCAAAATTACTGGCATACCTTAGAGCAGGCAAAATGCCAGAATTTACACCCGCTAAGAAAACCTGTATAGAGTATGTTCCTGTATGTAAACACATAAATATCAATTTATCAGTTAATTTTTTTTTTTTGATAATTTTTGTCCAATTTAATAATTTATATGAAACTAACATAATCACTATTATAAAGAAATAATCATCAGGGGGAAAAAACCATGATCATTCTTTCAAACATGAACATGCGGGTTTGAATCCCACTGTGGTCTCGTGTCACAGTAGGTGCTGGCACGAAAAAGATCCCTCACTGCTCAATGGCTCTGAGTGCTGAGTATAGGACAAAATTTGCAGCTCTCGATCGCAAGTTCTGGCATCTACATATGAGTAATAATTCTCGAGAGGGACTGCAACAACACAGTCATTCAGTTAATCAAAACAAGGAATAAATTTCTACATTACTCACATCATCTGTCACATTGAGAGCCTTGGAGATGAGGTACTTAATGCCCAGTGTTCCTAATAAGAGTAAAATACCCTGAACTGCCTACAAAGTAGAAAAGATGTAACTAATAACAGTAAAATATCATATACTGCCTATAAAATAGAACATATATTTAAATAGATGTACATGTATAATATGTAGAAAATGTGCACAAATTTACAGACCAGTAATCAAAAATACATGTTGATACATTAGCAATCATTTTCATTATAAATCATTATAAATTTAATTCTTTTCAAATATATTTTCTTTTGCTGAGAAATTGAAGACTAATGGAAATGCAAAACATTTTGTAAAGTATAAAGTTTTATATTTATTATTTATAAATTTTAATTAATTCCTCCTTCCTTACCCAAATAATTATTCTGAACTTCAGTATATTGAGGAATGGTTCCAATGACACAATTACCTGTTATAAAAGTAAAGGAAATAATAGTATAAGTGAAACATTCAGCAAAACTTGCCATTCAGCAAAGTTCCATTCTATTGGCTGTATCTTATTCATGACAGAGTTTTTGACTGTATATAAATACATATACTCATAATGATGCTGACTTATATAAATATATGTACTCACAATGATACTGATATATAGATATATGTACTCACGATGATACTGATAAGAGATGAGAGGAAGAATGAGGTCAGCAACATTTCATTCCCAAACAGGAGCAGATAACTGACCAGTAGTCCGGTCTGTAGAAAAAATAATATCAGATAAATAACATCACAAAAATAACTGACTTAACTGACCAGTAGGCCACTCTATAGGAAAAAAATATCAAAACATAATTCATCTATCTATGAGGTAATGTTTTGTTTTACCACTAACAAGTATACTATAAATAAAAGGCCCATTGGCCAAATTTCTTGATTTTGCAAGAGAAAAGCAAAATTTAGTTCTGTATAGAACATTTTAAATATATAAGTGGTCCCAACTTACCTCCCCTGGGAAGATGGCATAATTTGAACAATTTGGATGCTTATATATTTTTCTAATAATCAAGGCTTAAAGGATTTTTTATCATGTTTAAAAATCTTTTAAAGGTTGAAAACTTTAAATTTCTCAATATGCACATTTTGATTGCTAATGTTACGTGCCAGTGCTCTGATGACACAGATGCCAAATAAATCCTTCTCAAACAAAATACTTATTGTGTTTACAAACAAGTCAACTGTTGTGTATAATAATATTTTAAACCTGTTAGATACTAAAATCAATTAATTGGTTAAATGATAATTGGTTATAGAAAGTCAGTAATACATACCAGTAACCCTGTTACTATGACCTTGACCTTGTGTGATCCAATGTAGCCAAGGACATATGTACAGAACACAGCAACCCCCTGAGTCATCAAGGCAAACTGGGCAAACTTCAAAAAAAAAATAAGAGGAAAAGGCTACATTTCTCTATAAAATATTTCATGGTTATCTTACCAAATACCTGAGAATAAAGTTAGTAGTTAGTAGATAATTTAAGGGGGCCGACTATAGTTTTATTGTGTGAAAACTACAATAGCGAAACTCTTCATTTTTATACCATATATAACTTACATTAACTTCAGTGTACATGCAAAGTTTGGGGGAAATCTACCCTCCAGGTATTTTTGAGGGACCATCTCAAAATACAGGTACATTTACTATAGGATTATATAGGGAAATGCCAATTTTTAGCACTTTAAAGCAAATTATACAAATACTACAATAGATATTTTGTTCAAACTATAATATTTGATGAGTAATACTATATTATACAATATATGTAAGAAACACAAAATTCTACCGTCTTGTTACCAGAGGGGGCATCTCAAAATGCAAAAAAATTAGCAAATTTTACTATTTTTATAGAGTATTACAAAATATGACGTAGACAATGGATTCACATAAAAACATAATAAAAATGTTAGAGATATTCTCAAATGTCTGTGTTTTAAATTTCAAGAGCGTATGTTTATTACGTTTTCTTTAAAAATATTTTCCATTACCACTTTCTTTAAGAGCTACAGATTATCATAACGTCAAAAACACACTGCAACGACGTCAACCTACCTATCAATTGCAAAATCGGTTTAAAAATCAGTTATATAAAATTGTAATTACACTTTTATACCTATAATTTCTTAATTTTGTTTAATTTTGATAATTAAGCTAAAAAAAGTTGCATTAAAACACTAAATACGCTTCATTTTACTATGATGCGCGAAATATTGCGCAATGGAAACTATAGTCGGCCCCCTTAAAATTAAAAAAAAAAATTAGATAGTAATTCACTAAATATTTGAACATTTTATAAATTAATATTATAAATGGAACGGTCTGAAATTTAAAGATTTCTTTTTTGTCAGTCATGTTATAAGTTTTAACTGTATTTACTGAAAACTATACAAACCTGCCACAACAACATGAAGCTGACTACAGCTATGGCTATCCCTATACTACATAGCTGACTACAGCTTTGGCTATCCTTACACTATATAGCTGACTACAGCTTTGGCTATCCTTACACTATATAGCTGACTACAGCTTTGGCTATCCTTACACTATATAGCTGACTACATCTATTCCTATACTTTATACAGACCTGCCAAGGTAACATAAAGCTGACCACAGCTAGGGCTATTCCTATACTATGGAGGTAGGAGGGTTTCTTTGTTCTACAGAGAGAAAAAAAAATTTAGTGTAACTATATAGATCTTGATTAACAACAAGAGGTAGATGTGAAACACGGCTCTCATTACATCTACTTAATATATATATATATATATATATATATATATATATATATATATATATATATATATATATATATATATATCTATGGTCATTTACAACCAAGGGTAGTCAACAATGCTGGCTATGATATTCTAAACTCTGTGTACATGACATGTATATCTAAGATCCAATGCCTTAAAGTTTTTGTGCCAAAATTAAAACAGAAATAACTTTTTTTTCTTTTCTACTTGTGTCTGTCACTCTGTGTACCTTAATCATTCTGATTATAGTGCTTCTTTCTTACCTCTGAGAAAGAGTAACTTTGAACATTTCTATTAAAAGGTATGAATACACAAAGCTAGTCCTTACTTTAGAGAAAGAGAAACTAAGAACATCTCTAATATAAAGAATGGATGCACAATGTTAAGCCCTACTTTAGAGAAAGAATAACTTAGAACATCACAAAGCTAAACTTACCTTAGAGTATGTGTTACTAAGAACATCTCTAATATAAGGAATGGATATGCGAAGCTCTCTCTCAATGGTGGAGTCCATTGAACTCTTGTACACTATTAACAGAAAAAGAATTGCCTCAAGTAATTGACATAACATGGTACTTATTTATCAGTAATAACTGCTGTATGCTGAGAAATCCCCCTCCCCCCGTTTTATTTTCACCCATTTGTTGGCCCTACTCCAAAATGGGCTAATTCAAAGCAAGGAACAGGGTATAATTACTTACAAAGAACAACGACTGGACAAATTTAAAACAGGGCAAATATTTCTGCATGTGTGAAAGGGCAAAAATAACATGGGGGAAAAATGAACCTAGCATGTACAGTATTTATTACGTGTGACCTTTGACTGTGTCGGTTGCTATGGTTACTTGTTCGTACACTTACCTCCCCATGGTTGTAGAAAAACGACGCTACAGTCAGAATCCCCCCGTACACACTACCACTGAAAAAAAAAGCATTATCGCTACTTATAATTTAATATATATGTTCAGTTTACTAGATATGGGAGAAAACTCAGATTTATTCTTCATCAAAATTATTCTGCATGTACATAAATCTAAAATAACAAGAGGCCCATGGGCCACATCGCTCACCTGAGAAGCTTTGACCATTCTGTTCTTTACCAGATTTCCTCCTTGTAATACATAATGCATCCCCACCCTACCCAACTGATCATAATTTAGACATTTTGAAATCTACACTACCCCAGGATCCTTCCATGTGCACATAAGTTTCAGCTTTTCTGGCCCAGTGGTTCTTGAGAAGAAGATTTTCAAAGATTTTTCCTATATATTTTTATGCAAAACTTTGATTCTCAATTGTGGCCCCGCCCTTCCCCCGGGGGTCATGATTTGAAAAATTTAGAATCTACACTACCCCAGAATGCTTCCACATAAGTTTCAGCTTTTCTGGCCCAGTGGTTCTTAAGAAAAAGATTTTCAAAGATTGTTCCTATATATTTCTATGTAAAACTTTGATTCCCCATTGTGGCCCCGCCCTTCCCCCGGGGGTCATTATTTGAACAATTTAGAATCTAAATTATACCAGGATGCTTCCACATAAGTTTCAGCTTTTCTGGCCCAGTGGTTCTTGAGAAGAAGATTTTCAAAGATTTTTCCTATATATTTCTATGTAAAAATTTGATACCCCATTGTGGCCCCGCCCTTCCCCCGGGGGTCATGATTTGAACAATTTAGAATCTACACTACACCAGGATGTTTCCACATAAGTTTCAGCTTTTCTGGTCCAGTGGTTCTTGAGAAGAAGATTTTCAAAGATTTTTCCTATATATTTCTATGTAAAACTTGGATTCCCCACTGTGGCCCCGCCCTTCTCCCGGGGGTCATGATGTGAACAATTTAGAATCTACACTATACCAGGATGCTTTCACATAAGTTTCAGCTTTTCTGGCCCAGTGGTTCTTGAGAAGAAGATTTTCAAAGATTTTTCCTATATGTTTCTATATAAAACTTTGATTCCCCATTGTGGCCCCGCCCTTCCCCCGGGGGTCATGATTTGAACAATTTAGAATCTACACTACCCCAGGATGCTTCCACATAAGTTTCAGCTTTACTGGCCCAGTGGTTCTTGAGAAGAAGATTTTTTAATGACCCAACCCTATTTTTCTCTTTTCTTGATTATCTCCCCTTGCGAGGGGATATGTCCCTTCATTTTAACAATTTAAATTCCCCTTCACCCAAGGATGCTTTGTACCAAGTTTGGTCAAAATTGGCCCAGTTGTTCTTGAGAAGAAGTCGAAAATGTGAAAAGTTTACAGACGGACAGACAGACGGACGGACGACGGACAAAATGTGATCAGAAAAGCTCACTTGAGCCTTCGGCTCAGGTGAGCTAAAAATAGTTTCTTTAACCAAACTTCTAAACATTTATTTAGTTAACATATATGCATAAAATAAAATTAATTTTTCCTCATTAACTTTTCTGTGGATGAACAGATATGGAAACTACTTACCTGAGATACACACCAAACAAAAAGAACACACTCATCATCAACCCGTTAAGCAGGAAGACAGCCTCGACATAAAAATAGGAGGGTTCCCCTAGACCTAAAAATAGAAAGAAACCATTGAGAAATCAGACAGCCTCAATAAAAATAGGAGGGTTTCTCCTAGACCTAAACATATATGGAAACCACTGAAAAATCAGACACCTTCTATAAAAAATTAGAATGGTTCCCCATGACCTAAAAATAGATATAAATTGCAAGCCATACAACCTCTATCCCCTACTTACCCTCACAGCTCTGTACAGGGGACATCCCCTCCCCTCTGTTTACTGTCCAGCACATTTTGGTTGGCTTGTTCAAGGATGTCATAACCGCATCATACCACCGGTATCCTATACCTAGGGCTACCTTAAAGATGTGAGAAAATTTATTTTATTGATCTAGGTCAATATTCTGTCCAGTCTAACAGCTATGGTTGTTATCAGAAATTTTAATCAAGTTTAACTGCAGAATTACATTTTTTCGCGTTACGAAGTATAGCGAAAAATAATTGTCCTGACGACATGTAAACGAATACGAAAGTGTGGTGTTACTAACGTAAAATTGCTATGTAGGTTTCAGCCAATGAAATGTTAGAATTGAGAAAACGTGTTCGATTGTATATACGGGTGGTTAGTAAGGGTTCACTTTCTAGCGCACGCTTTCCCGAGCAAGTCGTGTTTTAAAATAATGGACGCCAGGCAGATTCAGGGTGCAATTTCTGAAGAAGTCAATAGAGTTGTTTCGCGTCAGCAGTCGGAATTGCTGGACAATTTAAAAGACATGATGGACAGTCGACTGACAGCTTTTCAACAGAATATTCAGCAAATTTCAACTTCCCAGATTAGTAAAATAGAAGAAAATCTTAATGAACACTATGTTTTCCGGAAAAAAGGAAACGAGAATCAATACAAACATGAGGCAAAAGTGCTAACTAAATTGAAGGAGGCCAGGGAACATTTGAACAGCGACGACGGTGTAGATTTAGCCAAAAGCAGCATAAATGAAGGTATTGAGTTGGTTAAAAGTCGCCAAAAGGTCATTAAGTTAGCTGATTCGTCGCAGCTTGGTTGGAGAGTGGTTCAAGAATATCAAGCCAATCCGATAGCTGACGATTCAGACGATGAGAAAAAGATGTACAGAGCGCAGATGAGGGCAGAGAGAAAAGTTTTCAACGGGAAGAAGAGATCTAGATTCGAGCCTTATCAAAAGAAACCGGCAACTGTTACTCGCATGGAGACTGACGAGAAGTCAACAGGCAGTGGAAAACCTGGCAGATGTTTCGACTGTGGTGCAAAAGGGCACTGGAGCCGAGATTGCACAAAGAAAGATGACAAGACAAACAAGATAAGTGAAAACTTAGATAATTTTTTATCTAATTCAAATTTTGCACATTTTGTTGATATGAAAAATAAAAAATCTCCAGTTGGTCGCTTAAGATCACAATATGACGAGTGGGAGAAAATAGGAGCAGGTAAAACAATTTTAGACGTTATAAAGTCAGGTTATAGAATTCCATTCAAAACTAATCCTGTGGCTGTTGAATTAAACAACAATAGGTCGGCGAGAGATGAACCAGATTTCGTTACAGGTGAGATCAAAAATTTGGTAGAAAAAGGGTGCGTGTCACGAGTATCTGAAAAACCTACAGTTGTAAATCCTTTGACTGTGGCTAAAAACAAAAGCGGTAAGCCAAGGTTAGTGCTTGATTGTAGGCATATTAATCCTCATTTACACAAATTTAAGTTTAGATACGAAGATGCTATAACAGCAAAAGAAATGCTTAAGATTGGAGATTTCATGTTTACTTTTGACCTAAAATCAGCTTATCACCATTTAGAAATATGCGAGGAACATCGACAATATTTGGGGTTTTCATGGAAAGAAAATGGAAAAGTGTCTTATTTTGTTTTTAATGTACTACCTTTTGGCATTTCAACAGCAGGGTACATATTTTCTAAAGTTCTTAGAGAACCTGTGAAATGTTTAAGGTCAGAAGGTACAAAGATTATAACATATTTAGATGACGGTATAGCTGCAGGCAGAAATTTTGATGAGGCATCAAAGGCAAGTATTTCAATAAAGAATCTTTTTCAAAATTTGGGTTTCTTGTTTGCAGAAGAAAAATGTAACTGGGTTCCAAGTCAAAATTGTTTATGGTTAGGTTTGCAGTGGAATACAGAAAAAGGTCAAGTTTACATCAGTGGTGATAGAATTCAACGTTTAAATTCTTGCTTAGACGCTTTACATTGTGAGGTACAGAAAAATGTACTTTATTTTCATGTAAAATTTTTGGCTAAAATTGTTGGTCAAGTAATATCCATGAAAGTGGTTTTCGGTGATATAGTGAGAATGAAAACAAGATATTTATATTACTGTATATCAAGCAAAGCTAGCTGGGAAGCTCAGGTAAAAATAAGTACGGAAGCTTTGAAAGAAATTGAATTTTGGCGGAGAAATGTGTCAACATTGAATGAAAATGGTTGTTCAATTGATTTGGTAAGCGCATCGGATGTATGCCATTTGTATTTATATTGCGATGCCTCAGATGTAGGCTTTGGTGGTTATTTTGAAAGTTTGAATGAAAGAGATGAAAATGTTTTTATGGGTAGTGTAGTTGGAAATTGGACAGAAGAAGAAACAATACAGAGTTCAACATGGAGAGAACTTGAAACTGTTAAAAGGGTTATGAAAAGTAAAGTCAATATCATTGAAAATTCAAAGTTAAAAGTAATTTCGGACTGTAAAAACGTTTCAAAAATTATGCAAGTTGGGAGCAAAAAGCCATATTTACAAATTATTGCAAATCAAATATTTGACACTTGCTGTGAAAACAGTGTTCGGGTTTGCAATGTATGGAAGCCTAGAAATGAAAACAAAAGGGCAGATTTTTTGAGCCGAGTAACTGACATGGACGATTGGTCAGTTAGGGATGAGGTATTTGACATTTATGAGAAATTGTGGGGAGTTCATACTGTTGATAGATTTTCAACTCATTACAATAAAAAATGTGAAAGATTTAATTCAAAATATTGGTGTCCTGGTACAGAGGCAATTGATGCTTTTACACAGGTATGGGTAAGTGAAAATAATTGGTTAGTTCCCCCGCCCATTTTTATACCTAGAGTTATTAACAAAATGGTAGCGGAGAAGGCCTCAGGTACGTTGATTATTCCAGAATGGAAATCATCTCCATTTTGGCCTTTGATATTTGAGGGAAACGTTTTCAAACATTTTGTAAAATTTTATGACTATTTACCTGATGAAAAATTAATAACGCATGGCAAAAGTAACAAATCAGTATTTGCAAAATTTCCATTGAAATTTAAGATGTTGGTATTGAGGATTCAATTTTAAAATTGACAATAAGTGTGCAAGATTACGAATATATTCTAATGGCACTGAGTGTTTTTTTTCCAGGATTAGAAGTGCAGTCACATGTAAACAAAGCAGTTACTGATAGTGGCATTTTGTTGAGCAGCAAGTTGGGATCTTTTAGTGAGCATATGTGTGGATATCTCTTATCATCGAAGAGTGACAGCACCAACAAGGCCTATAAACATAGTTTTCAACGATGGAAGAAGTTCATAAATGAGCATGAGCAAAGTGAAATTCCAGCGCAGCCGGTACATGTTGCTTTGTATATTACTTATTTGCTAGATTCTGGTGCGTCATATTCTACAGTGAATAGTGCTATTTATTCGATTAAATGGATGCATGGAATTAGTGGTTATCCAGATCCTACCGAAAATTCTTTTGTGAAATCGTTACAAGAATCAGCAAAGCGTTTAACTGGTAGGCCGGTGCACAGGAAAGATCCAGTAGACCGTCAGATGTTACAAGATTTGTGTGATTTGTATACTGACAGTACAGATGTCCTTTTATTGAGAAATTTATCTATGATTTTGATAGCTTTTGCTGGTTTTTTGAGATTTGATGAACTGAGTTCTCTGAAATGCAATAATATCATTGTTGAAGAAAATTATTTAAAACTTTTTATTGAAAAATGCAAAAACGATCAATATAGAGATGGAAATGAAGTACTTATTGCAAAAGGTATCACAAGTGCTTGTCCATATGCTATGTTTCTGCGTTATACAAAAGAGGCGGAAATTGATTTATGTTCTGATCATTTTCTTTTTAAGCCCGCTTTCAGGAGTAACGGTTTTTCAAAATTGATATTTAAAAACAAGAAGCTTAGTTATACTGCAGCAAAGCAAAATATTGTTACTCTTTTAAAAACGGTAGCTCCAAATTTAAATATTGGTCTCCATTCTCTCAGATCAGGGGGTGCAACTGCTGCTGCAAATGTTGGTGTTAATGAAAGGTGTTTACAAAGGCACGGGCGTTGGAAATCAATGTCTAGTAAAAATGTTTATGTCAAAGACTCTTTAGAAAAAAGATTACATGTATCAAAACAATTGTTGTTGTAAGTTATTTTTATATATATATTTTTTCTAGTCCCTTTCTCTCCCTTTCTTTGGTTATGTCTATTGTCAACCTGCTCGGTGCGCTACAATGCATATTAAGGTGTTGTGTTTATATATAAAGGTGAAATGAAGTGTGGACTTACATTTTTTCGCGTTACGAAGTATAGCGAAAAATAATTGTCCTGACGACATGTAAACGAATACGAAAGTGTGGTGTTACTAACGTAAAATTGCTATGTAGGTTTCAGCCAATGAAATGTTAGAATTGAGAAAACGTGTTCGATTGTATATACGGGTGGTTAGTAAGGGTTCACTTTCTAGCGCACGCTTTCCCGAGCAAGTCGTGTTTTAAAATTTGTTTTTTTAGATACAATAGTTGAATTTATATATATATATAAAAAAAAAAAAAAAAAAATTTTCAAATTAAGAATAAGCTTTTTGGATGTTTTAAACGTGAGTGAGGGTCCGCCACTCAATTTTTTCGCTTACTCTGCATTTGCCGCGGATACACAGGTTTCCATAGTTTTTTCAAAATATTTTTTATCTATGGTTTTTCCTGGGCGGCAGAGGAGGCTCTAAGGCTTAGTTTCTATTGCATCAATATAAAAGTCGATGTGTGTATATGTTTTTGCCTGTTTGTTTGTTGGCAAAATGTTATATCAGAACTGCTTTGTTTGTATGTTTGAATATATTCAATACAATAAACCTGGCGTCAACCTGCTCGGTGCGCTACAATGCATATTAAGGTGTTGTGTTTATATATAAAGGTGAAATGAAGTGTGGACGAGTATTTTTCCATTGGTCATTCAAATATTACAAGAATTCACACCCTTGATACATTGTACAAGTAGATTTTATGGGGTAAAAACATGATTGTCAAACTTAATATAAAAGAAATCACTATACAATATTGTTGCTGTTACTATATTTTTTCTTTATTATTTATCAGGTTTAATACCATGATCATTTTTTTTTAAGTTAGTTTTTTAATTAATGAAAACTTTGCATACAGTTGAATTTGGTTATCTCAGACCCTGCTATTTTGAATATCAGTGTTATTTGATGAAGTGGGTTGGTAGTCCCAACCACAGTTCCTTAACTACTGTACGTGTACTTAAAACAGCGGGCATCATACTTTAAGCGGCTTTGGCGCAGACAATGATGCGCTAATTTATGAATACCGCTAAGAAATAATTTAAGTATCACTTATTCATGATTACACCAACAACTTCATATCCATTGATTGCGCTAAATTTCAAATATGCCAAATTATGTACTTGTACAGTATTTTACATATTTATTTTAGGGTATCATGCTATCTTGTGAGATACATATTTGAACGCTATTGACCAAATAAGTTAGCCAATGAAACAGAGAATGAGCAATAATATGAGAAGATTGTAATAAATTCTGTACATAATGTAGCATAGCAGAATTTTGTGTATATAACTTTGAAATTGTGTTTTTATTTTTTTGCGTTTACGATTATGAAATATAGGTAGATAAATAAAAGTTTTACAAATATATAAAATTACAAAGTTATTAAAAGTGTTTGTGTTGATTTATTTTACAATTTTGTTAAATTAATTATTTTCCCGCCAAAACTCAATTGAGCGACTGGTTTAGTAATATCACATGACTAGTGACCATAGACAGGTTTTTGAATCTATTGGGGTGTTGGTTATTCTTGTCCGGTGCTGTGGTTCCAGCAGGTTGTGTCTATATTTAATTTACTTTGTTGGACTTTGGATTTTCAGTCATGGTATGTTTGACTTTTTGTTTGCTTTTTATCTTTAAAGTTTGAGAATTGTTTCAGGATGAGATTTCTGCATTTTCCAGTAGTTAAAACTTGCATGTTTAATTCTTTTAGAACAGCACAGCACTTAGATAAATTTACCAGATAATTTGGAGAGCCTAAATTCCATAATTTTGGTAAGTCGTTTGTTAAATATTATTTGTAAATGTAAGTGTAAATAATTGTTTGATTTTATCGCTAAACTTTCATAATTAAATAGGTTCAGTGGAGATCACTTTATAAATTAAATTTATGAGTGTAAAACTATAACTATATTGAAGTTAATGCGTTCAGATACGCATTTATTAGTGAGAGACTATTTTATGATTGGTGTTTTGTATTATAATATAAACACTTGATTATTGTGTACATTGATGAGGTTTTGTACATTGATTTTGCAGGGCCATAAATAATTGTCTTGATTACCATATGTGAAATGAATTGGACTTGAAATAATATAACCTGCTGAACTTTGAAACCTGTTGTTTTATTTCAATATACAACCAAGGTTTACATTTGGAGCCCCCCAGTTTGTGATCGAATTCCTGACGAACCAGTGTTCAGTGTGCTATTTTTATTCGTCACGGGATTTAAACAGTGCGATTCAATGTATTATGTTGTGAGCATTGGTGAATAGTGAGAACTACTCGTTACACCTGAGTGACGCGCACCTGTTGGCGGATCTTGGATCAAGAATGGAAAACCCCGGGAAATAGTTACTTCCGGAAGTGAAAGCAAGCAAAGAGGTGGATCCAAGCTTTACAGATTTACAATCAACAACATTTGCATTTGGATTTTCGCATACCATATGTACCCAGACAGTCCGGTGATTATGAATATTTCCTACCAGTGACGTGTTTCGATTTACACCGAAGAACGAACATAGCCGTTGCCTTTTGGAAACAAAAGCTAAGACAAGCTTTTACTTGGATTATTCAGTGGTATAGAAATTTTCCTTGGGTTTTAAATTGGCACATTTTTCAGATAAATTAGGTTCAGGTTAAATAAAACAATGATTTTAATTGGCTCATGCAAACTTTTATGAGGCTAATTAAAAGTGTGCATTTCTTACCCCTTCATACCTGATCAGTTAAGCCAAGTGTTTAATTAGAGTGAATCCCTTGACATGGAAAGATGATCATAAAACAGATTCTTTGATTTGTTAAAAAGTTATAATACTGGCACTGCACGTATAAAAACAGACTCTGTGATTGGTTCAGATACACATTTTTTGATCATGTTGATTGGCTTAGATACACATTTTGTGATTTGTTCAGATACACACTCTGTGATTGGTTATTAAGATACATGCCCTGTGATTGGTAAAGATACACATTCTGTGATTGGTTAAAATACACGTTTTGTGATTGGTTAAGATACACATTCTTTGATTGGTTAAGATACATGTTTTATGATTGTTCAGATACATGTCCTGTGATTGGTTCAGATACATGTTTTATGATTTGTTAAGGTACATGCTCTGTGATAGGTTAAGATACATATCCTGTGATTGGTTAAGATACATGTTTTGTGACTTGTTAAGGTACATGTTCTGTGATTGACTATTGGCTAAGTCAAATGATCTGTGATTGGCTATTGGTTAAGTCAAATGTTTTCTGATTGAACAAACTTTATAATGATTCCCCACCTCAGGATAAAGGTTGAACCTCTTTAGGACGTTGATAGTATCAGGATATTCTGTGATGTTGTCGTACATGATTTCATTCAATCCATCCAGGAAGGTAGGAGCTTCTATGATGGTTTTGAAGTAGGAGAAATAAAGACCCTACAAAGAATTTTAGAAAGGAGATTAAATTACTTGTGTTTCAGTAATCACATATTTCTGCATAGTTTACATAAACAAGAGGCCCATGGGCCACATCGCTCACCTGAGAAGCTTTGACCATTCTGTTCTTTACCAGATTTCCCCCTTGTAATACATTATGTATCCCCACCCTACCCCACTGATCATAATTAAGACATTTTGAAATCAACTACCCCAGGATCCTTCCATGTGCAAATAAGTTTCAGCTTTTCTGGCCCAGTGGTTCTTGAGAAGAAGATTTTCAAAGATTTTTCCTATACATTTTTATGTAAAACTTTGATCCCCCCATTGTGGCTCCACCCTTCCCCTTCCCCCCATTGTGGCTCCACCCTTCCCCTTGGGGTCATGATTTGAACAATTTAAAGTCTACATTACCCAAGAATGCTTCCACATAAGTTTCAACTTTTCTGGCCCGGTGGTTCTTGAGAAGAAGATTTTCAAAGATTTTTCCTATATATTTCTATGTAAAACTTTGATTCCCCATTGTGGCCCGCCCTTCCCCCGGGGGTCATGATTTTTACAATTCAGAATCTACACTATCCCAGGATGCTTCCACATAAGTTTCAGCTTTTCTGGCCCAGTAATTCTTGAGAAGAAGATTTTCAAAGATTTTTCCTATATATTTCTATGTAAAACTTTGATTCCCCATTGTGGCCCCGCCCTTCCCCCGGGGGTCATGATTTGAACAATTTAATATCTACACTACCCTAGGATGCTTTCACATTAGTTTCAGCTTTCCTGGTCCAGTAGTTCTTGAGAAGATTTTCAAAGATTTTTCCTATATATTTCTATGTAAAACTTTGATTCCCCATTGTGGCCCCGCCCTTCCCCCGGGGGTCATGATTTTTACAATTCAGAATCTACACTATCCCAGGATGCTTCCACATAAGTTTCAGCTTTTCTGGCCCAGTAGTTCTTGAGAAGAAGATTTTCAAAGATTTTTCCTATATATTTGTATGTAAAACTTTGATTCCCCATTGTGGCCCCACCCTTCCCCCGGGGGTCATGATTTGAACAATTTAATATCTACACTACCCTAGGATGCTTTCACATAAGTTTCAGCTTTTCTGGCCCAGTGGTTCTTGAGAAGAAGATTTTTTAATGACCCAACCCTATTTTTCTCTTTTCTTGATTATCTCCCCTTGCGAGGGGATATGTCCCTCCATTTTAACAATTTAAATTCCCCTTTACCCAAGGATGCTTTGTACCAAGTTTGGTCAAAATTGGCCCAGTGGTTCTTGAGAAGAAGTCGAAAATGTGAAAAGTTTACAGACGGACAGACGGACAGACAGACAGACAGACGGACGGACGGACGGACGGACGACGGACAAAATGTGATCAGAAAAGCTCACTTGAGCCTTCGGCTCAGGTGAGCTAAAAAAAAAAATACTTTTTACTCCCTAAAACATGACCCAAAGGGTTATCATGACACAGAAAAAATATGATAACAATTTTTTTAAAAATCCAGTTCCAAATTGTTGCCTTGATGTAACCAGTTTATTAATTTACATTCCAACTTTCTAGGAAAATATCATTGCTTTAATTTCAAAGTGGCAGTGAGTGGAATTAGCATTTCAATGTCAACAATCTATCAAATTTTATAAACAACCTATCTAATTCTTAACAAAACCGGAAGTCCAAATGAAAAATGTGGCTTCTGACATTGGTATATTTATTTCAGCTTGGCTTTGTTAAAAAAGCTAATGATGGTAATAAAAAGGTAAGCAAAGCTCAAAGCATTAATAAACCCATCATCAAAATGCTCAAACCACTTTCAGATACTGTAAATCACTTTTTATTCGCAAGAACTTTATTTTTTTCGCGTAATTACGCGAGACAATGCATTCGCGTAAATTTAATTCTCACGTATAAAAGTATTCCTTACGATTATATAGAGGAATAACAACTATTCGTGAAAATTATGTCTCGCTTACAAAGAGACAATGACAATCTCGCGAAAATATGGTGTCGCCAAAATTTAGTGATCTACAGTATACTTTTTTTTTTGATAGATGTATTCTGCAATATACGAGGGTTGTCCCATAAAATCGTGGACAAAGCGTTTTTCTCGAAAAGTAATGGGCGCACTAAGCTGAAATTTTCAGTAAATGTTTATTCATCATATTTAAGTGATTCATAATGTTTTTGATAATATATATTCAAAAATAAAGATTTTATTCTGCTTGAATGTGCACAAGGTATGGTCCTACGGCGCACGGTAAAAATAGCATGTTTATATTAGAGAAGACATAAGAATTGATTCGTAATAAAAGTTTTCAATACATTAGCTTAGGATGAAAATTATCCTAATTCCATTCCTTAATCAATTCTGTCGTATTTTTAAAAATTTCAAGGCATTTGGTTAATTTTTGGCAGTTTCCCGAGCAATTGAAATGGGAAAGTAAAAAACACAATACACGAAAAATGGCGACTTTTTATGACGTCACGGCGCACCGGAGAGCAGTTCAGATTGATTAGGATGTTGTAATGACGCCTTAAGGGACTTTAAAGGAATACGGAAGAAAGAAAATATGAAAAATATCACCAGATCTTTAGTATATAAATGAAATGAAAGTTTTCTTAGTGAAGTCTTCGTGGTTGAGTCCCCAGATAGTACAAAACATATGGACAGACTGCCATTTGTAATAGCAAAGGACGCTGTCACTGTCGACCGTCGATGTGAGATTCTCTTTTAGTTAAATGATGGTGAGAATACTGTCTGTAACTTGCTAATAGATATTCAGAAGATCGCATGAGTGTGCCACATTGGTTTCTTAACTGGTTATAGATACTCACATATGTAAATCAATAAAATTTCTAAATTTAAGTGGGGCTTATTCTACTTTAAGTTTAGCAAAGATGAAACGTGACGCTGTTTTAGACACTTTGACGTTATCATCCGTGCGCCATAGGGCGATACAGTACATACAATAAAATATCATAATTTGTTTACCTATGCATATATCTATTTGAAATTTGCTATGTATATTCATAATTTATCTACTAAAAAGTGGTGAAAATTTCAGAACGCAGTGATGATTATTTTTCAAACTAGACAACTTGTCCACGATTTTACGGGACAACCCTCGTACAAATGGCAGAATCAGTAAATTGTTTAAATAAAAAAAGTTCAATTACATTTTACTTTCTGTTTCCTTTTCAAAATGTGAAAGTCAAATTATAGAAATAAGAATTGCAGCTGGTAGCAAACTTAGAATATATTTTGACCCTCAAAAATTCTCTTTCACTCCCAAAAATGTATTCAAAGGGTCATAATGACCCTTGGTTTTCAAAGTTAGCGGAAACACTGATTATCAAAAAACCAATATATATATATATATCTCCTTGAATTTCAAGGAGATATATATATATATTAGTTTTTTCCAGTTAAACTGCTCGATAGTTGTTTGAAAGAATATTATCAGCAGTAGTATGTACTGTAGATTCCTTATTATAAGGAGGAATTAATCATCGCGTAATTTCATGAGAAGGATTGTAGCGCCACAACGAGCAGTCTTACAACACATTTCATGATTTCAGTTTGCATGAATAAATTGAATTAATCCTTGTTCCTCATCTTGAAAATAGATGCCGAAATTCTAGTCTACAGTTTATTTACACAGCACATCACCTAATAGAAACATTCAGGAAAAATAATTCACAAAATAAAATCCAAGTAAAACAATCACAATCTCTATATAATATTTTTCTAAAATTCTGTCGCGCTATATATATACCAGTACCCAAGATCCGCTCCTGATGATCAGGAGCACTTTATAAGATCCTTAAGATCAGGAGTCAATACACAGGTCATTACGATCAGCAGGAGGTTAGATAAGAGGGGCGATTAATATACAGATAAAAGAACAAGGTTCACTTTTGCCTTATTTGGCCCTATGAATTTCTGAAAAACTGAAACAGCATAGTTTTAGTTAACAATGCATTAAATATCACTGAGATCTTTGGTGACTGCATATCTATCAAAAATGACGTCATTTTCTGGCTAGTCAATGCATTATGACGTCATGAAATGCGTCAATTTTCTCATATTCTGAAAAAGTCTACAAAACAGCCAATTTTTAAAGCTATTTTTTGATATTTTATATAGAGCGCAACCTCTGATCTAAAATATGCTACTAGTAAATGATAGAACTGTTTCTGAGGATTAATGGACATGTTTTATTTTGTAGATCAGAGAGTGCGCTCATATTATTTTTCTTCACTGAAAGTACTCAATTATGCCTGTTTACCTAAAAATTCAAGAACATTGCAATTTCATAAAGCCAGTTCTCCTAGACCTGGACTTTTAGAAGAATTTTTTTAATAGGATATGAAAGCACCAAGTCTCTATTTTAATTTAGTACTTCAAATAGAAAATCAAGTGTTGATCAATAAATTGGCATATCTACAGGGCCATTTTATGCATAAAGTGAACCGACTTCTTTATAGTATAAGTGTAGATAATGTGTGAACAATTAATTAATGAAGAATGATATTAAAGATAAGATATTCTAAATCATTACAGGATCACTTGTGAAATAAAATTACTCACATTTATTTTTATGGTGCTAAAATCCATGTAAATTATCTTCATCAACGGTCCATTCGCAAATCATTATTCTCACAATTTGACGTTAAAGAGTCATCTTGTGATAATAAGTACTCGCAAAAAATATAATGAATCTACAGTATTGGAGCACTGCCATTGTCTCAGACATGTAGTTGTGACTTTGAACACACACAATTCATTATAATACAGAATTGGAGAACTGCTATTGTGTCAGACATGTAGTTGTGACCTTGTACACACACAATTCATTACAGACCTACCATCTCGGTCCTGAATGACAGCTCTCTCTCCAGGTTTGACAGATGTGAGAAATGTTTATCTCTTTCAAACATTCCATATACATGGTTCCTACAACGCAAAGGAAAAAATTAAATAACGAAAATAAAACCAATTCTTTTTAAATGACTAAAACACAGTAAATATTTTCCCTCTTGTATACAGATTGTTGAAAATAAGCTAAGTGTCTCACTGAAAATTGAAACCAAAATAGACTTCACTGATGAATGCCCATATCTGCTCACTTCTTTTACTCACCGTCCGTGGGGAAACTCAACGAAAAATTGTTGTAAGGCCACACCAATTTGATATCTTGGTCGCCGGACCCGCGCGCACGTAATTTATAACTTTCCAAAAAATAATATTAAAAAAGATTTCCCGCATCCGCAATATTTTGTTCCGTTTTCCGCATCATTTTCGACTCTAACTTTTATTTTTTCATTCCAAGTCACGGTTGCGTTTAAAATCAAGGTTTTCAAAAACGCGTGTGTCTTTTCCTGAATTACATTGATCGTATCACAAATATTTGGCACCGGATTGTCAGTATTCTAGTAAGAAGTTTAGCATAGAAATTATATCAAGAATGCCTGTGCTCGTGGTAAAAATTAGTGATCAGGAAGGAGGATTTATTATGAAAAACACTGTTACAAATTTTACATGGGGAACGTTCTCCGAACTGTTTGAAAAATATGTTTACTGTTTATTCGAAAGACACCGATTCGATTGTTGAAATACATTTACATGAAACCAACAAGCCCAATTCATTCTTGCATTCATGTGTCTACACTCTACAGTGAAAAAAAGGTAAGTAGAAGGGATGTTTTATTACCCGTTTATGGTTTGAATTGCAGTTTCAGATACCTACAAGCTTAAATGTATTTAAGGTTGATATATTGTGAGACACAGACTGCTTTTTCATTATTGAAAGTTTTTGTAGGAAGAGCTGTTGATTCGTTTAAAAGAGGATCATCGGTATACCTTGTACCAGAGGACACAGAGGATCAAGGAATAGTAGTGAAGTAGGCCACAAACTGCAAAGTTATTTTTCAACTACTTTAAAGCACTACCTTCCACCTGTGTGTGTTCATTGCTGAAGTACTGAAAATCCTCTGGATGATACAGAACCTTATATTTCTGCTCTTTATGAACAATATTCAGTTATTCAAGCTTTATTACAACTTTGTCACTGTTGACAGAGACCCTAGATCTTGGGGAGGGATATTCTGCCCAAGAGGTGTAAAAGATAAAATGTTGTGAATTGGACATTTACATGATGTATGATTCCTACTTGAATCACTATGAATTGAAATAAACAGGTTTTTAAAAAATAAAATATTATCGCTCGCCTCTTTTCATTTTACACCGCTTCTACTTTTTTAAGTTTCAGCTTTTTAATTTTAAAAATTTTTAAATCGCTCGCTCGCCCCAATTTTTTCTGTCAAAAATCCGAAGACCAAGAAAATAAATTGGTGTGGCCTAATGTAATTAATACATTTTCACAAATGATTTCCTTAATGATTTCTTTTCTCTGCTTTTAATTAAAATATTTGAAGTTGAGAGGAAATAAAAAAAAAAAACTTTGACGACAGAATTGTACTAACCTATGCATATATCCTACAGAAATGGCTGCAAAATAAAGAGAAAAATGATTAACAAAACTTTTAACAACCTTTTTCATGCATTTCATCTAAATAATCAATGTATGAAATAGAAGCATTCTTTTTAAGTTACAACTTTTTAAAGTTCCTGTAAAAAAAATATGCAAAAGTTTTTTTGTCTTAGAAAAAAAAATTAAGAGAAATACTCTAAAAATATTTTCAATTTTCCATTTTTTCATACTTTAATGTATTTTGTTTTCCTCGTCCTTTATCAACTAAACATAATAAAATCATTAAAATGCTACAGGACTTTTCCGAACTGTCTGTTTTAGAAATAATAACAGTCCCATACAGGAAGCTACGCTAAGCCAGCCTTGTTTATAAAATGGATTACGTGTACAAAATCCATGATGCGATAAGAAAACACAAACCTAAAGCAGCGATAAATAATTTATATAAAAGATCGCCTGATTTTCCACGCTCTCCTTTGCTGTCATTCCTTTTTGTGGTTTTCTTTCGCGTGGAATTGCTCGTTTCTGTGTTTGCATTGGAGTTTTGATTTTGGTGCCTCTTCTTAGCTGCCATTTTTGTTTATCGACCAAGTCGTACACAGAAATAGTCGAGAGTTTATGATAAATGAACTTAGCATTTTTTCTTCAAATTCATCACCTGAAAAGATTTTTACGACATTTATGGTTAAATATTAAAAAAGAAAACCTATCCATAAACTGAAAAACAAAAATCAACAATGAACAATACTCATAATAGTGTTCGTTGAGTCGAAATATTTCTCGTAGACCCTATCTTGATAAATAAATTCGTGTATTATAAATAAAATAGTTGAATGCTTCTTATCCATTATAATAAAAACTTTACACAAAAATTTTAACATAAAATTATATCATATTTTATATGTATTGACATTTTCATTAACTTTGCATGACGGATTTTAACGATCTCTAAACGGGCACCTGCTCCTTCCGGTTTCCTCCATATATGGAAGTTTCCGGAGTATCCACGGGTAACACGGTAGTTTACAATATGTCGGACGTGTAGAACTTTAAACCTATAGATTTTGTGATAGTCACTCTAAACTTTCGTACTACTGGATAATAAAAAGTGAAAATGGCCACAGCAATAGTTGAAAGGCCTGTCTTGGCCGACTCCAATTTTAAAACACGTCCACCATTTCAGTCTTATTTACAAGTAGATTCAAATGCTGGTGGAAATACCGTGCAACAAATAGTAAACCATAGGCGGATCCGACAGATGAAATTCCCCGCCCTGACCGGCAGGGCTGATGTCGACTCCTTTAAAGACTTCCCTGCCAAGGATATCGGATTCAAACGCTGGAATGATGAAGGCGACTTCCGGTCCAATGCGCCTTACAGGGACTATGACAATATTGTGGATCCGGTCTCGGGGTTCGTCTCGGCCGGTGGGGACGTGGACAGGGTCACCGGACATAAGAAAATTAAACCCCTAGCTCAGCTGAACGACGTCCCGCAGTGTGCCCCTCCACAAAGTAAGAACTCGGACAGGAAAACTTTTGAGAAAGCCCCTCCCGAGTTACGACGCTCCAATACGTATGAGCCCGGGGCCCCGTCCTTCTGGAACAGTAGAAAGACATCGGATGAGTGGATCAAATCTCAGCTGGGAGGTACGTACAGAATTTGTCCTAGTGTTAAAAATAATATAGCAGTGTTATTTTTTTTAATGCATATATGTTGGTGTAAGTCTGTATACCTGCAGTATTAATTATGTCAAGTTACGTCTTTTATTTTTTTTATTTATTTATTTATTTATTTATTTATTTATTTATTTATTTATTATTTATTTATTTATTTATTTATTCATTTATTCATTCATTCATTTTTTCTTGCGTATGTGCATGATGTGTGTTGGTTTGTTTCCTTTTGTAAACACGTTAGAATTGAAATCTTGTTCTCAATCTACAAAATGCAAAAATGACAGTATATAAACATTTTTTAATGATATATATTTACTATATATATGCCACGCAGTGCCTCTTAGAGTACGATAGTATCAAGGAAATAACTAAACATTGATCAATAACCCAATTAATTTTATCTTATTTATTCTGTTTAAGTACACATAATATAATAATGAAAAATAATGATCAGATACTTCGTACACAAACTTTACGTCTTTTTATTTACCACTGTTTACCTATATACCTTTATGTAGATAAATAGACCAAAAAAAAAAAAAAAAACAAACAAACAAACAAACAAAAACATGCGAGTGATTGAAAGGAAAACTACAAAGTAGATTAATAGAGTTTTCAGCATAAAATTGGAGAACTCCGAAGTACGGTAAAAGAGAAACTGATGTATTTATTTATAAGTGAATTTCTATATGTATACAGCGTACAAATGACCCAATTTTGACCTTGTGACCTTGCAAGTTCCCGCCCCTTTCTCTCCTTTGTATGCAGACAAGAAAAAAGCAAAGGCCTAAAGTCTCTTTGGAAAAAAAATTGGTAAAAATACATGGTCATTATACATGTTACAAGTACATGTATGTGTATTGCAGTGTAGAATCCTCTTAGCTTACTTAGTATGTTGCTTTGTCATTTTTTTTTAAGTCTGAACTAAATTAATTAACCGGTAATTTTGATAGCGCGAGTATGAAATCCAATTTATTGCATGACAATTATTTTGGATTTTTAACTGAATATATTGCATGCGTGCACTAGGAAAATTTTTTATGAAATCAAATTCTAAAATCAATCTACACCCCGGGGTCTATATACAGATATTCAGTCAACGCGGACTGTTCACAAGCACCTGTGCCCCTTACCCCTTCCCCCACCCCTGGGAAGTATCATAGTGTCTACTTCTTATACCTCAAATGTTAAAACAAATTAAGGTGTATTAAATATGGGTACTTGTCTATAGAATTTGACGTTTAATTGATCAATGAAAGATCGATATTAAAATTTAGCATTCAAATAAAACAAAATTCAACACGGTCGTTAATTAGCGAAGGTAAACTTTTCTTACGTGTATTCTATTGGAAAGTTTCTACAGCACAAGTACTTATCTACCTATATATCTATCTGTATACTTACACTTAGATAAATAGACCAGAACTTTTTTCTATTCAGTGGGATATTGGCATTAATTACCATACAATAGGCAGTTATTAGAAATTTGGAAATTTAAAGGTAGAGAAATATATAATCGATTCAACAGTCACCTTTAGCTTGTTTTATCCTAGATTATCAGATAATACATTTGAATCGAACTTGAAGTATTATGCTGGTGATTTTCAAAATATAAAAGTTAAGAGAGACAGTGGTGCACTATATGGGGTGGGGGTTGGGGTTTGAGGGGTTCCCGGGTTGGGGTGATCCCTCTTCGACTCTTTGGCTGCTACGGGATAAAGGTGACCCCCCCCCCCCCCCCCTTACCGAAAAGTTCAAATGCTCAATTTCAGTTATATACCTTTATCTTTTTTTAAAAAGTTCTAAATTAATATTTTTCTTCTTTCTTTCTTTCTTTCTTTCTTTTTTTTGGTAATTAAAGTGAACTTTAAATATAGAACATTAATTTATTTTTCAAATATATCGGTATATGTACACTAGAAAGTAATTTTAAGATAAAATTTCAAGATGAACTTGAAGTTAAAAATTTAATGTCTCTCTCCCCCCCCCCCCCATTTTGACCTCGTTATACACGTATATAAGTAAACAAATATATATATTTTTTAAGAAAATCATATGAGTAAATTGGATACCTGATATTCTTTTCAACATTTTGTATTTTTATTTCGTTACATATATATAAATTTATAAATATTAAATACAATAAATTCATGGTGTAATTCTTTCTGTATGGGGCAACATTCTGTGATCGATATTTTGTCAGAAATTTTATCCTTTTGAAAACTTTTTTGTGCTAATTAAACACTTCGGTCATTTGATCTGAAGCAATGTAATCGACCTGTCTAAATTTAACAAGACGTTCATTGTTTTACAAACAAAAAATCATTTAAAGGTCTTGATTATCTCTTTAGATAAATAAAGAGTACATTGTCATAGGTATTAAACGGACGACCGGACTTAAAAAAAAAATCCCCAACTGCTTCAACGATATGTAGGGACCTTCGGGTGAGACCGTATAAACCGAGGTCCTGTCCCGTCGCAGTAGGGGCTGGCACGAAAAAGATCCCTCACTGCTCAAAGGCCCTCAATGCCGAGCATAGGACAAAATTTGTAGCCCTCCACCGGCAAGTTGTGACGTCTCAACGTAAACAATTCTTGAGAGGGACGTTAAACAACATACATGTACAATCAATCAATCAACGATATGTATATAAATCGAGACTCGGACAGCTTTTTCTCAGCTGCAATAATGTAGAATCTGATATTTTTAGAGAGGCTAAAAAAGGAGAGGGCCACATTTTTTGTCACCCATATCGATTGAACATTTTTTATTTGTAGATCAAAATTTGAACTTTTAGAATATGCTCACTTTGAAGCCATTTTTGGAGGAAAAATTGTCTTATTGTGTACACTGAAATTAAATTATATAGAATGAAGCTTATTTTAACCTATGTTGTACAGTACATGTAACATGACTAGGGATACTTTACGCTTTAAGCATAAACTGCCCCAAGTTATGTTATATCGTATAACATACTGGTTTACATAGGCTTCATTCTTTAAATAATTCTGTAGATATCCGATTTGCATCACCGGGAGGGGGGGGGGGGGGGGGCTAGGTGTTTTTTTTTTTTTTTTTTTTGCAAAAATAGACATAATATGCATTAAAAATAGGGATTTACCTTTTTTTTGTTGTTTACCCCCCCCCCCCGTTACTTTCAATTTGCTTCTAACTCCCATATGCAAAGGCGTCGGAACCGGGGGGGGGGGGGGGGAGGAAGCTGGCCCCTTTTTTTTTCTTAAAAATAGACATTATATAGGCATTGGAAATTGGGATTTAGCTTTTTTGTTGGTTTAGCCCCTCCCCCTTTCCCACTTTCGATAAGCCCCCCCCCCCTACTTTCAATTTGCATCTGACGCCCATGATATGTGATATAGAATTTTTGTCTTTCAGGGTGGACCAGTGATTATGACCCCCGCAAGGACCCCCCGGAGACAACGAAATGGAGGTCAAAGGTAAAAAGCACCGACCAAAAAAATAGTCATTATATTGTACATATAGACGTATGATTACATAACCTTTAGGCCAAGCGTAAACATTCTTTGTTCGCAGTTGCCGACCTATAATTCTTAGATTGGGTAGGTAGGTAGGCATTCTTTTTTTTTTTTTTTTTTTTTTTGAAAAAAAAAATTGTTTTCAGATTTCTGTTAGATAACAAATATGAGAGCTTTTCATTGGCCTACTAAACATAAATAAGCCCCACTCTTGTTATAAACCACTGATTGATAAAAACAAAAGTCAAAAATTGAAAATGAAGCGGTTTCAGTATCCTGAAAAATTGAAAAAAATATTATTACAAAATGGCTAAAAAAAGTTTGGGTCGGGTGCATTTCAGTGGGTGTAGGCAACTGCAAACAAACATTTTTTTTTAATTTTAGGCCTTATCAAACGTATTGGTGTAGATTAAAGAGAGGCGATGATCAAACACGTGAATAATGCGTTTAAAAATTGAAAGAATTCAAAAAGAAAGTTACTTCTTTGCCGTGTTATTTAAAACTTAAATATTACCAACAATCCAAATTGCAAATAAATATTGTAATGTTATTTTGATACTTTGGCAGGATGGGAGTTTCAATAAGGTACATTTTTAAACACAAGAATTTTAAATTGTTCACAGTATGTTTGTCCTCCAGTGATACAGCAGATGACTGACACACTTTTTTTTTGTCTAACTCGAATTGCACATCGGATTGATTAAATTTACACCCGAAAAATTCCATCGTGACAGAAAGTCCTTATTAGGGCTGGGCAATAATATCGATATTTCAATATATTGCAATACAATGACAAAAAATATCGTATCGCAATACGATTTTGAAATATCGATATATTGGCAATATGCTAAGATTAAGGAATTTTGTCATTAAAATGATTAAATATAAAAAAGGACTTGTGAAAGTTTGTTATTAAGCCAAAGAGTAAGACAGAAGTTGTTTTGTGGGAACATTTCAGAGCATAACTTAAATGAAATCAACAAGATTTTTTTTTCCGTGCTGGTTACTTATCATAGTTAATTCTGCATGTAAATTAATGTAAAAACAGAAAATGCCATTTTTATTTTGAAAATATTGCAATACATATCGCAATACAGTTAAAAATATCGCAATATATCGCAATACGAAATCTCGGGCCAATACCCAGCCCTAGTCCTTATACAGCAAAATTTTAAATTTCGCAGTATATGTAAAAAAAAAAAAAATAACCATCAATGGTAAATTATATTTTTTAAAAATGTAATTTAAATAATAGTTACATGTAGTATCTAATTTAATGATATACCCCCTTTTCCCCCTACACTTCCTGACTTTCCATTAAGAGCACAACTAACGGATATTAACATAGGGAACTGTCATGTGGTAAAATTTGAATTTAGTACCGTGTAAATTCAACATTTACAACATGACGGGACAATCTCACCCTCCTCATGTTATTGTGAGTTTGAATGTGAACCAAGAAACAGTGAATCAAGAAAACACGCTACCTTAAAGTTTGTAGAAGATTAAAAGAGAGAGAGGAGGGAGAGGGCACCTTAAAGTTTGTAGGAGAAGATTAATTAAAACAGAGAGAGGAGGGAGAGGGCACCTTAAAGTTTGTAGGAGAAGATTGATTAAAACAGAGAGAAGAGAGAGAGAGGGCACCTTAAAGATTAATTAAAACAGAAAGAGGAGGGAGATGGCCACCTTAAAGTTTGAAGGAGAAGATAAATTAAAACGGACAGAGGGGGAGAGGGCACCTTAAAGTTTGTAGGAGAAGATCAATTAAAACAGAGAGAGGAGGGAGAGGGCACTTAAAGTTTGTAGGAGAAGATTAATTAAAACAGAGAAAGGGGGGAGGTCACCTCAAATCGCGATTCTCTGAATTGAGCGATTTATTTTCCGTTCTTCAGCGTTAAGAGATCGGGGACAGAAATGTTGTCAAAGTTTTATTTAAAAGACTGACGTTTGGGAAAAATCACACAGCTGTTGGGTATTGGGCTATCACTCTTAAAATTTTTTGCATTTTTTTGGTTGCTGTTTTTGATTGAAAAAAATTGCACCAGTATAGATAAAATTTTGGAAAATTAAAACTTGTTTGAATGCAAAAAAAAGTTCATATTAATTGTAAAACGGACATTAAAATGTAAATTACTGTTTTGTACAACTTTTTTCATAAAGGGGGTAGAAAATTGCACCCACTGGTAAAAAAGCTGTAAACATCACCAGTTGTGCAGAAAATGGAAAATAACCCTTTAATTTTTTAGTATGTTTAACTTATGATTTAGAATTGAGCGTATAAGATTGATAAAGTATCTTTTCTTTATATTTGTAACCTCATATGATATTGGTATTTAAAAAAGACAATTTTCGTTGGTTTTTGCATTGTAAAGACCCCCCCCCCCTCCCCCCGTAAAACAACAAATTTTAAAGCTTTGGTATTTGTGAAATATAAAAATGAATAAAACTTAAAAAGAAATTTAAGAATTTTGGGTTCATTGGGTGCGGGGGAGATTTATCTCATGCAACGTATCGTTTATTAATTAGATTTCTCCAATGTCATTATTTTTACTTCATGTCTTCTGGTAAAATAGAAATAAAATATCCATTACAGAAAAATTCATCTGAGAGAAAAAAATAGCTGTTTTTCATTTAATTATTTTCCTTTCCATTGTCTTTGTGTCTTTTTTCAGTCAGCATTTGTCCCCAAGCCTCCGTCAGAACAGAGCAGGGACGGAAGAGACCATCTCGCCCTGAAGTTTATGTACGGCGCCTCCACGCAGAAGTAAGTTTTCACCTATCGATGTCATGATTTATTCACCTGCCAATATCAAGATTTATTCACATACCGATATCATGATTTAATCTTCTACCGATATCATGATTTAATCTTCTACCGATATCATGATTTAATCTTCTACCGATATCATACTAATTCACCTACCGATATCATAATTTAATCTTCTACCGATATCATGATTTAATCTTCTACCGATATCATGATTTATTCACCTACCGATATCATGATTTACTTAGGTGCTATGGTACTCAAGCTTTATGTATAATTGCAAACAATTTTCCCCAAAGAATAGGTACTAAAATTGATAACTTCCGAAAAAACGAAAAAAAAGTTAGGGTTAAAATTGATGAATTTAATTATTTTTGAACAATTAAGGAAAATAAATGTCAAAAATTTCATAGAACACCGATACAGAAAAATACAATTAAAACGGGTGGTTTCCAAGTGACACAATTAAAATCCACGTGTTTCTGTAAGACTAAATACCTCTCATCCATAATGGGTCTCATAAAGTCAGTTTATGCTGAAATATAATAATTTTTCATTATTTTTAAATAAATTGTCATTTCTATAATCATGATAATTATGACAAACAAAATCACGTTCTGTGATATGTTTAAAATTAGTTATTCATTTAGATCACACATCCTTTTCTTCTCAGATCATAGGTGAATGTAATTTACATTAGATTCAGTAAAATTTTGATTTTATATATACTTTGTATACTATAAGTTCTAATTCATTTCTCTATTTAGGTCATACGAGGAGGTACCGTGGGACAACATGCTTCCCCCAAAACAATGGGCACCTGTCAGTACCCTAGAGGAAAGGCCGGACATGATATCACAGACCTACACCCTAAAAAGATACGACCCCGCAGCTCAAGAATGGCAGGTAAATAAAACGTAACGTAAACAAAAGATACGACCCCGCGGCTCAAGAATGGCAGGTAAATTACACGTAACGTAAACAAGAGATACGACCCTTCGGCACAGGAATAGCAGGTTACTTACACGTAACGTAAATAAAAGATACGACCCTGCGGCGCATGAATAGCGGGTAAACTACACGTAACGTATAAACAAAAGATACGACCTGCAGCACAGTAAAGGCACGTAATGTAAACAAAGAAACGACCCCAGTGCACAGGAATTGCAGGTTAATTACACGTAACGTAAACAAAATATACGACCTCGCGGCACAGGAATAGCAGGAGTGGCGGTTAAATTACACGTAACGTAAACAAAAGATTCGACCCTGCTATACTCAAGGATCATGTGGGTAAATTATAGGTAACGTAACAAAAGATATGACCCTGCGGCACAGGGATGATTTCTTTCACAAAAAATTGTTTGCAAGCATGAAAGAGTTAAAATAACAAAAGACGAAAATGTGTAACCTTTGTTGGTTAATTACCAGGGTACATGACCTTGTAACCTTTATAGGTTAATATCATGACCTTGTAACCTTTATAGGTTAATATCATGACCTTGCATCTAAGGAGTGGCGGTTATTAAGTTACATGACTTGATGTATCTAACATGGGGAAAAATGTTTTCAAGTCTGAAAAATTAAGATGGGGCAAAAATATTCCTTATACAGTACGACCCCGCAGGTCAGACACGGCAGCAATAATTTTTTGATTAAGTTAAACTTATTGTAAACAAAAAAGAGTATAGACCCATGAACGCGCGGTCAGGAATGAACATGAAAATGTGTGAACATGATTTGTAGCTATACAGAATGGAAGATAAATTAAAAAAAAATCTGTTCAATGATCTTTTTAGGGCACCGGAAGATCATGGGATTGGTTTCAAAGGAGGCGTGGCTATTATAAAGAAGGACCAATCAATTTGTGAGTAGGATCTTACATGTAATAAACAGCACATTATATTTTTAATTAAATGCAGAAATGCAGGGGAAAAACCATTAACATGTAATTTTATGTTCCTTTGCAGCTCAAGCCCTTGTCCTAGAACTCAACATATACCTAACTACAGGTAAGTCGGATACACAGCTGACATGTACACCTAGTTACAGATAAGCAATTTAAATGTAAGCTAGCTTTACGGACGAAAACCCTTGGCTAGCGAAGATGATTTACATATAAGCAAGTTAAATATACTTGTAAGTTAGATTTACGATATAATGCAGATTTATGATATTACAGGTAGTTGAGATATTAAACATATAATTTTTTTAAATACCTGTATGTTTAACCTAGCGCCAGGATTATGTTCATCTTTGATCTGATTGACTTTCAGATAATTAGATTTGATTGTATACTCACACATTGTGTTGATTACATTAGTTAATTGTATGAATTTCAGTGGTTATGTGCATGTTTATTTCATTGGTTGTGTGTATATTTCAGTGGCTGTGTGTTTTTTACTGGTGTTAATTGTATGTATATTTCAGTGGTTGTGTTTATATTGTAGTGGTTATGTGTATATTTCAGTGGTGTTGTATATATTATATTTTTCAATGGTGTTGTTTATATTTCAGTGTATATATTAGTGGTTGTGGATATATTTCAGTGGTTTTATGTATATTTAAGTGGTTTTGTGTATATTTCAGTGGTTGTGTGTTTATTTCCATGGTGTTGTATGTACATGCATGTATATTTCAGTGGTTAAGTGCAAATTTCAATGGTTGTGTGTATATTTCAGTGGTTGTGTATATATTTCAGTGATTTTGTCCATTTTTGTGTATATTTCAGTGGTGTTGTGTGTATATTTCAGTGGTGTTGTGTGTATTTCAGTGGTTGTGTCTATGTATCAATGGCATTGTATGTATATTTCAGTTGTGTCTTTGTATCAGTGGCGTTGTATGTATATTTCAGTGGTGTTGTGTGTATATTTCAGTGGTGTTGTGTGTATTTCAGTGGTTGTGTCTATGTATCAATGGCATTGTATGTATATTTTAGTTGTGTCTTTAAATCAGTGGCGTTGTATGTATATTTCAGTGGTGTTGTGTGTATATTTCAGTGGTGTTGTGTGTATATTTCAGTGGTTTCGTATATATTTCAGAAGTTGTGTGCATATTTCAGTGGTTGTGTATATATTATAGTGGTTATGTGTGTATATTTCAGTGGCTGTGTAGGAGCAGATAACTTAGATGAGAAAGACAATGCCAGAGAACCTTTCAATCCTTACACCATCAAGAGAGTGAACATTCCCAGATACAGTGAGACCGGACAGTGAGTACAGAAAGCTGGACTGGTTCTAATGACCTGGATCCAGGGCCATAAAACTTAGATGAGCTCAATTTTGATCTCAGTCTCACTTTTACTCATTTTTACAAAAGTAATATATGAGTCTGGTTTTTTTTTTCTTCACAAAATACACAAGATGTCAACAATATAAAGTTCTTATAGAGATAAAACTTGAAAATTTTTCTTGAAAAATAAAATTCTTCTAGAATTATGTCAAGATCTTTATGTGTTTTCTCTCCTAGAACTTTGAATTGTTTAAAATCCAAATTATATTAACTGAGAATGGTTGTCAACATGGAAATTAAAGTTCAACAAATACATAAAGAAATTGTTACAGTTCTTAATATCTATATCCCAAGGAATTTATATTCCTAATATAAAAAACAAGTTTTACATAAATTATACTGAGTAATACACAAATTTAACATTCCATTCTTATTTAATTCTTTGATTTCTTTTCAGTCGTCCAAACATCCCAGGTTACCAGGGCTGCACTCTGTGGCAGGGAGTGTATGCTCCAGCTCACTCTATGAAAGTAATTAATGCTCAGAGCACCACGTCAACGGTTCATAAGTAAGTAATTAATGCTCAGAGCACCACGTCAATGGTTCATAAGTAAGTAATTAATGCTCAGAGCACCACGTCAACGGTTCATAAGTAAGTAATTAATGTACAGCATTTTAACAGCTCATAAGTTTTTGTTAGTATAAGAAAGGCAATGTTTTATATTGGAAGATACATATAACAGTATAATCATTTAGAAGAAATTCGTAAATTACTTTAAAATCTAAAAGATTTTTGAAAATGAATGTTCTTTCTAGTTAGAGTTAAACTATATTTACTATGAAGGAAGGTAAAAATATTCAAATCAGCAATAATTTCCTAGTAATTGTTTAAATAAATAAAGTTTAGGGTAAAAAAAATCAAATTAGGTCTATTTCAAACCCCAGAGTGTATTTTTGTGCCAGAGCCTCACTCTCAGTTTTCTTTGTATTTCAAAGCCTTACACTAATTATCTGTCATATGTATCTGCTGAGTCAAAGCCTCACTCTCAGTGCTCTATTTTTAGATCAATGCCAATATCCCCCAATAACTCAAACCACAAGCGGGACTCTCAGATGTCTAAGATGGTGACCACTGTCCCTCCATGTAATCCCTTCAACCAGATCAACAAACTGGAGGAGGTTCTGGAGAGTAAAATCCAGTAAACTCTTATTATGACGTCACTTATCTATAGAGTCAAGTCCAGTAAACACTGAATATGATGTCACTTATATATGGCCATCTTAAAAAAAATGTTTTGGGTGCCCACTACCGACCGACTGGTAAAAATTTGCTTGACTCAGACGTTCAGGAAGCATGAAACCTCTTTTTATGCCACCCGGAAAATAAATATTCAACATTTAATTGATTTTTTCCTTTAAAAAAATTACTCATCTAAAACCGAACCATTTTTTTAAAATCCTGAATTGTAAGTTGGCAAACAAAAATTATTTTAATGTTGGCCTCAGTTCATTCTTTATTGTTTTTGGAAGCTCAATGTTTTATACGGTACCTTAAATATTGAATAATGCATAAGTAGTTACACTACGTCTATAATTTGTTCACTCCAAGGAGCTGGTCATTGGGATACAAAAACATTTTTTGTAAATTGATTGTTTTTTCAGGAATGCTATTTTTTCCTTGTCTGTGATATCTGATGTTAATGCTAAGTCTACTGATAACTGGTTTAGGGTCCATGAAATTGGCCCATCTATGTATTCTGCACATCATTGTAATTTTTGCATTGCATTATAGGTTACTTTTATATTGAAACTGCCTTGTGAATCTAATGTCATCTCTCTAGGAAATGAAAATGAGTGGAGTGTGAATAAAAAAAAAAGCTCAAACTCTCAATGTTCAGGACTAATCAGTATTATTTTTTTTATAAAATGTAGACCATATACAAATAAAGGTAGTATTTTTCGTTTTGTAAATAAATATTCTGTGATATATTTTTTTTAAAGTTGTTAAACATGTGTATCCCTTTTATATGTTGTAAAATGATTGGTATAATTCTGCACCCTGTAACTAAATTCCCTGTTCTTATGAAGTGATGCACTACAATTATAACTACATCATGTTTTGATTTGTTGTAAGTGGGAGGTCTGTCTTTTGTTGTATGAGAGATTGCCCTCCTAAATTCAAATTCCTTTCTTTCTGTAACTGTTGAAAGAATAATTAGTTATTTGTGTGCAGCTCATAATGAATTCATTATGAGTGTATGTGTCGGATGTTTTTCTTTTCTTGAGTGAACTATTTTTTTTTTCAAAAATTTTCTTGGATACATGTATGTCAGTTGAATTTTCAATGACTGAACTTTTTTATGTAATTTTTTAAGAAGAAAATAAATATATGCCATCTTGTTTGTTTCAGCCTGTGTTCTATTCCTGTTACTTTTTTCTTTGGATATTTTAGTGAAAAAAATTTCAACAAGACTTTCAAGATTTGATATTCGACACAAAAGGTTATCAAATCATCTTTTCCCTGACAGTTTTCTAAATGTAAGAGATTTACTAGTATACCGAGTCATGCCTAAATCAATTTACTTAAAATGAAAAAACGCATGCACAAAAGGACCAGTTGCATATTCTTGGGTCTTAATTTCCCGCAAGCTCTGAAAAATAAACCCGAATGTGTAATAAGATTTTAGCGTCGAAGACCCCCCTTTTTTAATTAACAATTATAGGGAGACTTGAAGAGTCCGGAACTAAACGCCATTTAACGTTGGACTTTACCCAAAATGTCACAAGGATTACATACGAGAAGTATGAAAGCCCTAGCTCTTACCGTTCAAACGTTATGATCAAGATTAAAATTTTTAAAAATTAGGTCAAACTCCAAGGTCAAGATCAAAAGAACAAGGTTGCTGGTATCCGATGAAAGGTCTTTTCACAAAGAAAGCATATAACATGTATAAGAAGGATGAATTAAAGTCCTATAATCAACCGTTCAAAAGTTATTATTGCCAAAGTAAAAGTTTGGAATTTTGATTTAAAAGTGTGTTAAAATCCAAAGATAAGTTCTAGAGGTCAAATTTGGTGGTACCCAAAAAAAGGTCTTGACAGAAGGATTGAACCTACGAAATATGAAAACAATATAGTCCAATCCAGTCAAAAGTTTTGGGCAAGGTTAAATTTTTGCGGACGAACAGACAGACAGATGGGCGTACAGACGGACAGGACAGAAACTATATATACCCCCGAAACTTAAAAAGTTCAAAGCTATAGGATTATAACGTATTTCAAACTCCCAGAAGTTAATTCTAAAGCAATATGAGCTGCATGTTTGACTTCGGAAAGAAATATTCAAATTTGTAATTAATTATTTCAATGACAGAAAAACAGAACGTTAATAAACTTCTGTTGTTCATATTGCTATGGAAGAACTTTTTATAAGCTTTGATTGAAGCAAAATTGAATTATTGTCGTCCTGAACAATAATGATTTCTTATATAATACTGTATATTCGGTTGTACAGATATATTTCTTCTGAAACATTTAAAACTTTATTTCGTTTTTTTTTTTATAATAAGGGTTTAGATTACATACAGATTAACCATTTTAACACATTTTACCAGCAAAATAAAATTTTCAAAAATGCAGCTCATATTGCTTTAAGATACAGAGAATAAAAGACGAACTTTCCCAATCTAAGATGTTCGGAATAGAATACAAAATTTCCAAAGCGAAATAAAGTTGAAAAGAAAGAATGAAAATTTTCTGAAGCCTGTAAATATTACACTCAGATACATATTCTTACAAAGTGATGTACATCATAAAAAAATGACCAGTAAGTTTTATACAAGACTTTCGGTTAAACTTTAATTATAGATACATCACCATTCTCTTAAACCTTAATTGCCCTTTCTCACATCCTAAAAATGTCAAGTGTGTGTGATTTCGGAATTCCACAAAAACCCTTGACATTGTGAGGATGCTTTTCTCATAGTCAAGTGAATTGAATTAGCCATCAAAATAAAAAGCTGAAGAAGCAAATACACAGAGTTGTGGTCCTCCGCTTCCGGTGTCTGTGAGTGATATGTCATCAAAATTTGACTTGAAATATGAGATTATTCTGGGATTTAGGGCAGTTGAATGAAACTTCAACCAAAATGATGTCCTAACCAAATATCACAATGAATCAGTAGTACTCCTGAAGGAGAAGAGTTGTTTGCATTGAGAAATTTTATTTTGTGGTCACGAAATTTTATTTCGTTTCTTTGAATTTTATTTCGTTTCTACGAATTTTATTTCATTTCTTTGAATTTTATTTCGTTTCTACGATTTTTTTATTTTGTGGTCACGAATTTTTATTTCGTTTCTACGAATTTTATTTCATTTCTTTGAATTTCATTTCGTTTCTATGAATTTTATTTCGTGGCCACGAGTTTTATATTTCGTGATCACGAATTTTTATTTCGTGGCCACGAAATAAAATAAATAAAATTCGTGGCCACGAATCAATAAAAAAATATGTTAATTATACCATGTCCTGTACCAGCCACCGTAACTTTCTCTGTACCACTTTAAAAAAAATATTTAGGTCACTGATCTTCTTGCTTTTACTGCACTCAAAAACATTCATCTTTAGGAGAGAGAAATCTGCAGAGCGTGTGGAATTCCCGATTTATTATTTGCTGTCAGTGTTATCGGTATACAGATTGTGATGCTTTACTGCAATGCTTGATAATTTGGAGCTCCTCTTGGTAAGGCACAGATACCTATACACATGTTATAAAACAAGTTTTTTGATCCGCGCCTGAACCGTTGGAAAATAATAACCTGTCACTAATAATAATTTTCTAGCTGTCATTCTTTTCATCACATACCGTTATCTATATCTTGAAAAATTGATAAGAACAGTACATGCAAATAAAATAAATAAAATTCGTGGCAGTTAGAATATAATATTCCCAGATGCACTTGACCATGTTGACAACGGATATCGAAGAAATGTATAATTGAGTTCCCGTCAACACCGATTTTTAACTTCGGAATTTTACAGTCCCTTTCCGGACGAAAATTTAGAATTTTATATTCCCAAGATGCATGTCCTTTAAGCTCAAATTCTATTACATTTCTTCTATGGTAGGGGACATTCTTGCACTTATTTCATGTAGTTATTTCACTGGGGGATCATCAATTATTGATTTAACTTGACCCCCCGTTTAGACACATTTAACAGAAGGATTGCATGCTTTACAGGCATATCGTTCGTCACTTTAAATGAATTCGAACGTTTGGCATTATTCCATTCCAGTTTGTGAATTAACTATAAAAACTTGGTATAACTGTGCTGCACTTTCACTAGAGGAACGCCCGAAGAGGATGTTTAAACTTGGAATTTCCGTTTTAACACTGATAAGACAAAGTATGTTTTATTTAATTTCTGTGAATGTCAATGAAAAATTTGGATTTTTTTCTCATGTAGTTGGATTTACGCAAATCGAATGACTATTTCTGTTCGAAAATTCGTTGAGTCGTAAGTAGAGGGGTTTTGCAAGAAAGGGTGAAAAAAATAAAAATAGTTAAAATTTGATATTTAATTATTTAAAAAAAAATCTTAATTTTTTGTAGGTTTACATGTATAAAAGTTTTTGATGGCCACCAATTAAGGTTTTACCTATCGGTAAGTCAGACAAATAAAACAGATTTTGTCTAAAAAGTACATGTATAATTAACTTGGACAAATAAAAAGGACCAACAGTTTTTATTCCAGTGAGTATCCCCTCGCCACTGTCAAGAATGCTACATGTATGTAAAATATACAGCAGAAGTCGACATTGGAACTGGAAACAACTCATACTGCAATGTTAACATCATACCTACCGTGAAACTGGCATTGACTTACATTGCTTAACACCGTGACTAAGACAGTAAAGTCAAAGCAAAAAAAAAAAAAATGCATGCAAAAGCATTTGCCCTCTAAAATTTATGGAGTGAATTTAAAGCACATCGTCGGAGGAACAGAGGAATAAAGGACGGAAGGAACGGAAGCATTAAGGACGGAAAGACGGAGGTCCGGACTTTGATGAGGACGACGGAAAAAAATAGTTCGAGCCACTCCAATGAAAAAGGAAAATAGGCATACCCCGGTTATAATAATTGCACGGGTTATTTTACTTCTTTAAGGAACTGTGGAAAAATGTCATCGAATCTTACAGTCACGCGGACAAACACCTCACCACATTATAACGTGCACGTGTTTTGTAATGGCACGGACGTGCACGATCACTTTTCCTCTTCATTCACGGCGTTTGTCATTGTGTGGCTCTCGTTAATTATGGCGGGAGATCTGGTCGGCAATACGATGGTCATCTGGGTTATTGTGAAAAACCCAAACATGCGCAGTTCCACCCAAACAACAAACTTCTTCCTGCTAAACTTGGCCATCGCCGACCTTTTGGTGGCAATGGTTATTCCGTTTTCAATTCATTCCGCTTACATGGAATGCTGGGATATACCGCTTTTTCTGTGTAAAATTAACTCGTTCTTTGTAACACTCTCTTTGGTTACCTCTATCCATACGTTGATGTACATAAGTATCCACAAGTTTACCTGTGTACGGCGGCTCGTCGTGAACAATGACCTTCACTCCCCGGTGTCGGTGAGATCTTGCTTTATAATGATAGGTATTGCATGGACTTACGCCGCGATGTTCAGTACCGCCACCGTCATTTCCGGTCCTATATTTAAGGAGAAAACCATTCAGTGTGGACCAAAATATCCCGTGCCTGGGAATGCCAGTTTTTATTTACATATCGCTAACCAAATATTTAATGTATTTATTCCTCTCGTTGTACTTGTCTTTTGTTATATTTGTATATTCTTGTACATAAGACGTCATGCCATTGTCCAACGTCAACTGACCATTGCTCCAAACGAGGGAGTTCAAACCCAAAGTGAAAAAGGTGTGGCCTTGACCTTAGTGATTGTCATTGCGTGTTTCTCGTTGTCCTGGTTACCATACATGGTGTACACGAACCACGCAACTTTCGTAATGGAAAAACACAGTGGCATTCCGAATTATTTCAACCCAATGGTAAGTCATTTTGTATCTATGACATGTAAGGTCCCAAAAATACTTTCAAACAGAATTTAAACAATCACAAAAATGATGTTCCAGATAATATATACGATATTTGTTTATTTGACGCTGCATTGGTTTGTGTTTGTTTGTTTGTTTTTAGTAATTAAGTTGAAATCTAAATCTTCCGAGTTTTTTTCTGAGTTGATAAATAATTGTCGGTGAAACTCGATTTTGCATCACTAATTCACTAAATCAGGAATTCTGACAATTGACTGAAATAATTTGACGAAGACTAAGCAATTATTATAACGATTAAACTAATTTAAGACATTAAGATACAGACGGCCTGATAGACCTATCTATAAGTTAAGCTTAAAATACGAGATACATACACCTATCTGAGTGGAGCTTGAAATACGTGAATTTTAAGAACAAGTACCTGTTCTTTTCTCGGGAAAAATTACGACCATGGTTATTCGTCAATGAGCGCTTAGATTACGACGTGCCCGACTATATACTGTAATGTCTTTAGGCTGAGTTTATTATAATAATTTATATATAATTAATGATATTTGCTAAAATATTTTTTTAATTATACAAATAACACAAAATCTGAAAAAGTCAATTTACACAGAATTTATATTAAACCCGAAAAAGTAATTTTGTATACCGTGACACTTTTCTTAAGTGGCAATTCTGGATTTTCTTTCTTTTACAGTTCTTCTATTATATAATAATCTAACCCGTTCTCACTTAACTATTAATCTAAATTTTGGATTTTATGGAAAACCGCTCTTTTTTTTTAAATATATCATGTAAGATTATATAGTTTTAAATCCAGATTTTTGCGCATCATTACGTAAAGATAAATCTGACAAAACAGAGGATTATGAATTCTTATCTCGATTGAAATTCCTTTCATTTGGAGAGTCACAAAAACTCATGCACAAACGATGATTACATTTTTGAAAAGATGCTTCAACATTCTTTTTAATCAATTTCTCGAAACGCACAGTGTAGCTAATATGTGATGCAACTTTTATGATATATGGACACTCCCAGTTTATTATCAGTAACAGATTTTTGATGGGATTTTATTGAAAGAACTAGGAAGAATTTTCTTGAAAAAATTATCCTGGAATTCTCTTATGTGAAGCATGCAGACAAGACAAAGAACAATTATTGTTGAGACAGAGAGAGAGAGAGAGAGAGAGAGAGAGGAAGATTTCATCGTTTTTTTTTTACGCAAGATATATCTTTTACAAAAAAATTAGTCGACTAAATTTTTTTTGTATGAAGTCGACTGACAAATTTTTATGCGTTGATTAAATTCTTATTTTGCAACAATAATTATTTCCAAATTTCATCATCACTACCAAAATCAGTACCAATAGAATCCTTTGTTTTATAGGCGTATTGTTTCTGTAGTGTAATCCTTTGTTTTATAGGCGTATTGTTTCTGTAGTGTAATTCTTTGATTTATAGGCGTATTGTTTCTGCAGTGTAATTCTTTGTTTTATAGGCGTAATGTTTCTGCAGTGTAATTCTTTGTTTTATAGGCGTAATGTTTCTGCAGTGTAATTCTTTGTTTTATAGGTGTATTGTTTCTGTAATGTAATTCTTTGTTTTATAGGCGTATAGTTTCTGTAGTGTAATTCTTTGTTTTGTAGGCGTATTGTTTCTGTAGTGTAATTCTTTGTTTTGTAGGCGTAATGTTTCTGCAGTGTAATTCTTTGTTTTATAGGCGTATTGTTTCTGCAGTGTAATCCTTTGTTTATAGGCGTATTGTTACTGCAGTGTAATTCTTTGTTTTATAGGCGTATTGTTACTGCAGTGTAATTCTTTGTTTTATAGCCGTATTGTTTCTGCAGTGTAATCCTTTGTTTTATAGGCGTAATGTTTCTGCAGTGTAATCCTTTGTTTATAGGCGTATTGTTACTGCAGTGTAATTCTTTGTTTTGTAGGCGTATTGTTTCTGCAGTGTAATTCTTTGTTTTATAGGCGTATTGTTACTGCAGTGTAATCCTTTGTTTATAGGCGTATTGTTTCTGCAGTGTAATGCTTTGTTTTATAGGCGGTTTGTTACTGCAGTGTAATTCTTTGTTTTATAGGCGTATTGTTTCTGCAGTGTAATCCTTTGTTTTATAGGCGTAATGTTACTGTAGTGTAATTCTTTGTTTTATAGGCGTATTGTTTCTGCAGTGTAATCCTTTGTTTTATAGGCGTATTGTTACTGCAGTGTAATCCTTTGTTTTATAGGCGTATTGTTACTGCAGTGTTATCCTTTGTTTTATAGGCGTATTGTTACTGCAGTGTAATTCTTTGTTTTATAGGCGTATTGTTACTGCAGTGTAATTCTTTGTTTTGTAGGCGTATTGTTACTGCAGTATAATTCTTTGTTTTATGGGCGTATTGTTACTGCAATGTAATTCTTTGTTTTAAAGGCGTATTGTTACTGCAGTGTAATTCTTTGTTTTGTAGGCGTATTGTTACTGCAGAGTAATTCTTTGTTTTATAGGCGTATTGTTACTGCAAAGTAATTCTTTGTTTTTGTAGGTGTATTGTTTCTGCAGTGTAATTCTTTGTTTTATAGGCGTAATACTTCTGCAGTGTAATTCTTTGTTTTATAGGCGTATTGTTTCTGTAGTGTAATTCTTTGTTTTATAGGCGTATTGTTACTGCAATGTAATTCTTTGTTTTAAAGGCGTATTGTTACTGCAGTGTAATTCTTTGTTTTGTAGGCGTATTGTTTCTGCAGTGTAATTCTTTGTTTTATAGGCGTATTTTTACTGCAGTGTAATTCTTTTTTTTTGTAGGTGTATTGTTTCTGCAGTGTAATTCTTTGTTTTATAGGCGTATTTTTACTGCAGTGTAATTCTTTTTTTTTGTAGGTGTATTGTTTCTGCAGTGTAATTCTTTGTTTTTTGGTAGTATTGTTACTGTAGTGTAATTCTTTGTTTTATAGGTGTATTGTTTCTGTAGTGTAATTCTTTGTTTTATAGGCGTAATGTTTCTGCAGTGTAATTCTTTGTTTTAAAGGCGTAATGCTTCTGCAGTGTAATCCTTTGTTTTATAGGCGTATTGTTTCTGCAGTGTAATCCTTTGTTTATAGGCGTATTGTTACTGCAGTGTAATCCTTTTTTTTATAGGCGTATTGTTACTGCAGTGTAATTCTTTGTTTTGTAGGCGTATTGTTTCTGCAGTGTAATCCTTTGTTTTATAGGCGTAATGTTACTGTAGTGTTATTCTTTGTTTTATAGGCGTATTGTTTCTGCAGTGTAATCCTTTGTTTTATAGGCGTATTGTTACTGCAATGTAATCCTTTGTTTTATAGCCGTATTGTTACTGCAGTGTTATCCTTTGTTTTATAGGCGTATTGTTACTGCAGTGTAATTCTTTGTTTTATAGGCGTATTGTTTCTGCAGTGTAATTCTTTGTTTGATAGGCGTATTGTTACTGCAGTGTAATTCCTTGTTTTATAGTCGTATTGTTTCTGCAGTAAAATTCTTTGTTTCATAGGCGTATTGTTACTGCACTGTAATTCTTTGTTTTATAGGCGTATTGTTACTGCAGTGTAATTCTTTGTTTTATAGGCGTATTGTTATTGCAGTGTAATTCTTTGTTTTATAGGCGTATTGTTTCTGCAGTGTAATTCTTTGTTTTGTAGGCGTATTGTTACTGCAGTGTAATTCTTTGTTTTGTAGGCGTATTGTTACTGCAGTGTAATCCTTTGTTTATAGGCGTATTGTTACTGCAATGTAATTCTTTGTTTTGTAGGCGTATTGTTACTGCAGTGTAATTCTTTGTTTTGTAGGCGTATTGTTACTGCAGTGTTATTCTTTGTTTTATAGGCGTATTGTTACTGCAATGTAATTCTTTGTTTTAAAGGCGTATTGTTACTGCAGTGTAATTCTTTGTTTTATAGGCGTATTGTTACTGCAGTGTAATTCTTTGTTTTGTAGGCGTATTGTTACTGCAGTGTAATTCTTTGTTTTATAGGCGTATTGTTACTGCAATGTAATTCTTTGTTTTAAAGGCGTATTGTTACTGCAGTGTAATTCTTTGTTTTGTAGGCGTATTGTTACTGCAGTGTAATTCTTTGTTTTATAGGCGTATTGTTACTGCAAAGTAATTCTTTGTTTTTGTAGGTGTATTGTTTCTGCAGTGTAATTCTTTGTTTTATAGGCGTTATGTTTCTGCAGTGTAATTCTTTGTTTTATAGGCGTAATGCTTCTGCAATGTAATTCTTTGTTTTATAGGCGTATTGTTTGTGTGGTGTAATTTTTTGTTTTATAGGCGTATTGTTTCTGTAGTGTATTTCTTTGTTTTATAGGCGTATTGTTACTGCAATGTAATTCTTTGTTTTAAAGGCGTATTGTTACTGCAGTGTAATTCTTTGTTTATAGGCGTATTGTTACTGCAGTGTAATTCTTTGTTTTATAGGCGTATTGTTACTGCAGTGTAATCTTTTGTTTTGTAGGCGTATTGTTTCGGGTACATGAACAGTGCTTGTAATCCGGTAATCTATGCCTGGAGGTTCCCGCAATTTCGCCAAGGCTACAAGGCAATCTTCAACAAGACCAAGTACTTCGTTACTGTTGGTAAATGTAAAACTATACTCAGTCATGATCAATACTGATAAAGTGTACGTAATTGTTTAATCAATCATTGTAGAAATCTTATGGTATTTTGTGAACCTTATGTCTTTTATTTAGAACACTCAATTATGTGTCATTTATTTAAGAAATAAAGTCCGCGTTTTCGTGAATGTTGCAGGATAACTCGCGAGGTCGAGAAATGTTATTTGAAAGATAAAAGCCGAGCTTTTATTTAAACAATAAAATGCTTTCTTTGTTTGTTATTACTGGAATGAACGGAAACTATGTAATTTTTTTCTGCAATAGCTGCGACCGTTCATTCCAGTAATAACAAACAAAGAAAGACATTTTATTGTTTATATTTATATCTGTTTAAATAATCAATTAAAGTAGTAAAGATTAATTATTGTATCAATTAATGATGCGAACGTCTTTATACGTTTCATTGATGGAAAGCCACTGATTAAGAAATCTGTACAGGCGACATGCCTACAGTAGTTTATGCAGTGATGAACGCAATGGGGTTTCTTAAGAAATAAAGGAGAAAATATTCAGTCTATGTAAATATATTTCAAACAACATTTCGAGACCGAGGAGGTTATATCCTGCATTATTCACGACAACTAGGACTTTATTTCTATTCTACAAAGATCGCTGAACATGCTAAAATACGGCTGATCGTTTCCTCTATAGAGAAACAAATTAGGTCACCATGTCTCGATAATACTGTTCCATTTAACACCAAAGCGAAATTTTGTTTACTTACCTGTGTATGGAAATCAGACGATTTGAGCTTTTGTTGCATTAAAAATAGCCTTTTAAAATTACATTTTTTTTTTCGGAATATGTATTGATTAATTTTAATGAATAGATGCAGTAACAAAATCATGTTCCTGCATTACTAAAATCACGTTTTTTAAATGTGTAGGGAGGTCCGTGGAATATCCCGCTTAGCTATAAAAACCGACCTTCATCAGCAACTTGATGTAATTTACAGTGTTTATACTGCAAAAGACGACACATCTATGCGGTCTAAACAAGTATTTTGTTCTACAGCCAAACATGCATTTGAATTGTTCAAGTTTGATACGTGTTTCTGATCTGATAATTTTTTGATGACGTTCGTGATTTATTGGAGAATAATTTAATTCTGGTTGTAACGCTGTATTTGATTGGATAAAAAATTTACTTCATATCGTATAAAATGGGTTGCCTACGTCACAATGACTTACGTCAAAAACGTATCAATCCGCCTGACGTTACATTAAAATTTTGTACAAGTTGAAGTCATTTTGTTAGAACAATCATCTTTTTTCTTACATCAAATGAATGGAAATTAAATTATAAACAATGAATTTAATAGCTACCCATTTTATACGGTATAAACTGGGTTGGAACAGTTTACGCTTTTTTATAAACCGCTTGGCGGTTTATAAAGCGTAAACTGCCCCAACCCAGTTTATACGGTATAAAATGGGCAGCTATTAAAAACATTACTTAAATAATGTCCGGTGGTTTCCTTTGATGTTTCGATAATCGTGGTAGAATTCACAATAAGCCCTCCGCTACGTAGTACATTATTTTTATATTTTCTGAAACACTATCGGCTTTCTAAACCCATCGCGCGTCTCAAGCCACTGTCTGGAGTCCGCATAAAGTTTTCTCCTACCCGTGGCTGCTTGATCACAAAAAGTGTCGTAATCTTGAATATTTTCGCTTCTCTATTGTGACGTCATATTTAGTCAGTCGGAAGCTTTGTTTCCATCGCAACAATTGACATCAACAGTATACAAGGAATATTTTGTAAACTGCGATTTAGGGAATAACTATCTTCTAATTTGGTATTTGCGACCGTTAATGCTGATTTAACGGTTGCAAACTGAGTTTTACCGGCGACGCGTATGCGGAGCCGGTAAAACGGATGTTTGCGATCGTTAAATCAGCATTAACGGTTGCAAAGTATAGGTTCCAGCATAAATGCCGAGTTGTATTGATTATATCGTTTTCATGGGGCGTGGAAATCGCGGGCGCGGCCCGCCCGAGATTTCCACGCCCCATGAAAACGATAATAACCAATAATACAAGGCAATCTATGATGTAAGCAACTTGTCGCATGTCTGATGACGTTAACATTGAGAGTGTCAAAATTCAATAAAACAATTTTGACCTGATTTCTGTCTACTGCAGTGATATATGAAGGGGCGTGGAAAGTATTATCGCATATGTGAAATGGGATATATCACCACAGAAAGATCAAAGAAAATCACCGCAGATATGCAACAATACCAAATTAGAAGTTTAGTTATTCCCATATATTTACATTCAGTGTAATTTTCTTTATGAAATCCATTATAAATCCACGACGTTCAAATTTCTATAACACACGCGAAACCTTGTCACCGCGCGTTAGAATACACAGAAGGAACTACATGCATTTTCAATATTTAGGAACAAAAAAATGTGTATTGTTTTGACTCAATTTCATTTTAAAAAAAACTACCCTTTTAAAATTAAAATAAAATCACAACAAATGTGCATTAAAATTTAATTTATCATTTTTTTCCTCGCAATGTTTATTTGCGTTATTTAACTTTCCAACGTCACAAACGGCTTTCCAACGTCACGAATGGCTATTACGTTTATTAAGCACACCAATACCGAAGGGCGCTAAATTCACATTAAACATGAACAAAATAAACAATTATGATAAAGGAAAATTAGAGAATGTAAATATAAGCATTGAATTCATATTTTGGGATGTCTTCGGTCCTATAACACACCTGGCCGTGCTGACAAATTAACATACCGCGGTATTCAATTTGTCGGCACGGCCAGGTGTGTTATAGGACCGAAGACATCCCAAAATATGAATTCAATGCTTAATTTAATGCAATCCGTGCATTTTGTTTGTTGTTTACGTCTTATTTTGTTGAATTTTGTTACATGAAATACGTCATTGTATTTTTGCGTCGCTCTGTTATGACGTCACAATATGAAAAGCTTTCACGCTCGTTAATATTAGTTATGTAGACACTTAGAGGGGTAATACGGAAATATGTGGGGTCCTTGAAAAAATCCATATTGGGCGAGGCGTAAGCCGAGCCCAATATGCATTTTTTCAAGGACCCCGCATATTTCCGTATTACCCCTCTAAGTGTCTACATAACGAATTTATCCTGCCGATGGTTCTCTAAAAGATTAATTCTAATGCAATTGTTTTGTAAAATACGTTTTCATCGGCTAATGCACTGATGTTTGAAGCAGTAAAACGAGCATTAACGAGCGTGAAAACTTTTTCATTGTGACGTCATAATAGAGCGACGAAAAACACAATGCTCCGTGACGTTTTTCATGTAACAAAATTCATCAAAATAAGACGTAAACAACAAACAAAATGCATGGATTGCATTAGAATGGGAATAACTGATCTTCTAATTTGGTATTTGCGTCCGTTAATGCTGATTTAACGGTCGCAAACATCCGTTTTACCGGCTCCGCTTACGCGTCGCCGGTAAAACTCAGTTTGCGACCGTTAAATCAGCATTATTTAACGGTCGCAAATACCAAATTAGGAGATAGTTATTCCCTAAATATTGATAGTACCAATAGACCGCTTTCACTTAACGTCCACGCAAGACGGTCTACATCCACTGTGCGTTGTCGTCAGACGCATTGTGACGTCAGTTATGAAGCTCCTTGCGGGTCACGTGAAGGCAGTATATTGATGATGTGTGGTTGGTAAATTTTTAATATATGTTGGGTAGGTCACGTGGAGGGGGCACATTTGCAATGTGAGGTGGGTAGACAGCATAACATCGTTTCATGCAGTATTGCTCTCGGCCAATGAAATTTCACGATTTTTATCAGAGGCAGGATAAGGCTCGTTTTACTGCTTCAAACATCAGTGTATTAGCAAAATCAAAGAGTGTTCTACAAAACAATTGCACTAGAATGGATATTGAAAGGTCGCGATCAAGTTCATCATCCGACTATGCTATACTCGCATTGGTCAATATTTTAATGAGCTACGAAGAATTCTCTCCTCCATCAACAACGGCCAGAACGGGAGAGGATCGTACGTTTTGGCCCTGGTTTGCGAAGATCTTCTAAACCTGGATCCGGAGAGCATCAAATGCGTTAGAAAACCGTTTTGTAACGTTGTGAACATTACAGGCTGCAGCGTAACACTTAGTACGTAGATCAGTTTATAGCTGCTACTCAACGTTAGATTGTTTAAAGTCACTACTCAACGCCAGGTACATAAAAGGCGCTAGGGAGCTACTACATAAAAGCTAGGGTTTTCAATAGCCACTACTCAATGCTGGGTAAATAATAGGCACTGGGTAGCCACTACTCAACGCTAGGTAAATAAGCGTTAGTTAGCCACTACTCAACGCTAGTTAGATAAGTTAATAAGCGCCAAGTAGCCACTATATAAAACTAAGTACATCACAGGCGCTCATGAAAGCCGCTACTCAATGCTATGTAGATCAATTCATAGCTTATAAGTAGACGCTACACAAAGCTTTATACGTCACAGGCGCATATCAGCCGCTACTCAGCGCAATGTAGATAAGTTCTCTTATTTCAATAGTGGACGAGAATCATTTCGATAACAAGCATAGGTTGCAACCACTATTGAAATAATGTTCATTTATTCAGTAAATACGCTCCATTTTACTATGATGCACGAAATATTGCTCAATAGTTACAATCCAATCGGCCTGCTTAAATCTGAGGCCTGTTCAGCAGAGCGAGCGCTCGCCAAAATTCCTTATACCTCCAATAGTAATTTTGGCGAGCGCTCGCGAACGTTCTCTCTGCTGAACAGGCCTCTGGTAATTCTGATTGGTTATTTGATGCTTAATCTGATATATTTTCTTTTGTAGTTGACGGTGGTCGTAGAATCACGCGCCCAGTCTGCAACAGTAAAACTGAAAATGAGGCTGATCATCAGCTGTCAAGGGCATCCATTAATGACATCACATCCTTATAAATATAAACCTCAGCCATCATTGAACGAGATTGGTACAGCTAGTGGAAATGCCAACAAAATCCTCTATATTTATAGGTCGAATAGCAAATTCCTGAGTGGTTAAAATTTTAAAAATATATTTTGAAAACACCTTGTGGTCATTTGCAAAATTAATCTGTTTATATAAATACAAAATACTTTGCTTGTTTGTTTTTTAACGTCCCTCTCAAAAATTTTCCCCTCACATGGAGACGCCATCACTTGCCGGTAGAGAACTTCAAATTTTGACCTATGCTCGGCACTAAATGCCATTTAGCATTGAGGGATCTTTTTCGTGCTAGGATCTTCTGTAACACGTGACCTCAGTTTATTCGATCTCATTCTAAGGACCGGGCTCTATACCACTGCTTCAAGCAAGCGTGTCACAACTACCTTGTAGTTGATAGAAAAAATGCTTGGATTTCTGATTGACATTATATATATCTGGTATTTGAGTTGCAGGTTTTCCAAGAACCCGTTTAATTTCCCGTGGTTACCAATTGCGTTCCGTAATAAGCATACATAATTTTGCATTCGTATGAAGCAGAATTTATGCAAAATCTCAGGCTGTTATTGCCATCTACTCGATATATCGACGACGTATTTTCAATCATCTACTCGACATTTCGATATATCGATGACGTATTATCAATCAACAATGGTTATATGCATTCAAATATTATGTCGACAAAATGTATCCAAGTTAACTTGATAATAAATTGATCAAGTAAACTTGATAATAAAGATATCACAGAGTCTGACACACCTATTTCATTTTTGGATATTTTATTGGAAAAAAAGTCAATTAAACTTTAAAATAAAGCTTTATGATCAATGTGATGACTTTAACTTTTGAATCGCCATCTCTCTTTACGCAGCAAAATACCTTCATTACCTGCATTGGAGTTTATATCTCTTAGTTGATTTGATGCGCAAGAGCACACACCTTTTAGTTTTAAAAAAGAGATAAGTTGAACAAACATTTAACAAAACAAGAATATCAACAGTCCTGTTTTTGTCATTTATTAAGTTTCTATGTTCAATCAACTGACCTTGTCAGCAAATACAATCTACACCTATTACTAAGCTAGATGCTTACTGACCTTTTTCATACTCATTGTCAGGTCCAGTCCAAACACTATTTCTACCTACGTAGCTATTAATAGCTACCTAGGTATTTAAAGCTACCAAAAGTAGCTATTTTTACCTACTTTATATAATTTCTGCATTTTGCGACCAAAAGACCAAACAGCGCAACATGGTTTACACCGTATTTTTTGATATGGTCACACTTATGATGAATACGACAAAAATTTGGCCAAAAAATGATTTCTTCCTGAATCGGCAATTTTGCATTAGTTTCTATGCAAAATTGATAATATACGAAGTTTACATTTTTTGGCCAAATTTTTGTCATATTCATCATCAGTGTGACTGTATCAAGAAATTGTGTGCTCACCATGTTGCGCCGTTCCTGCATTTGGCTAAAAAATGCAAGTAAAGCAGAAAGTAGGTAAAAATAGCTACTTTGGGTAGCTTTAAATACCTACGTAGCTATTAATAACTACGTAGGTAGAAATAGTCTTTGGACTGGACCTGATTGTAAGGCCATTTTTATCACATTGAATTTCCAACAAAATTTCTCGAAATTTCATGATCATGACAAGGTGCACTCTTATCTGATGTGTCCGGTCAGCAGGGGATGATCCCACCTCTAGTTCATTGGCTCTGCTCCTGATTTATATATATATATATATATACACACAATGATATTATTTTCTTTTATATATACATGTTTTTTGTTGTTGCGTGAAAATAGTTATATATTTTGCATGTTGACATATTTTTATCTTTTATGTTGACATAATTATCTAACATGTAGGGACATAAATATGCTACCCGATTTAGTTGGTTAAGTTAACCAGCATTAGCATTAGATTCACTAAAGCGATTAGTAATTTGTGTATGTCAATGTACTTTTTTGGGTGTTGAATTAGGTAAATGGAGATAACAAACTGTATTCAAGCTCAAACGTCCATAAAACAATACGAAATGAAAGAAGATCAAACACTAACCTCCAATTTAAACATCTAGAGGTAGGATCAGGTGCCGTGGAGGAGTGAACATCCCATGCTGACCGGTCACCGTGTGCTGCTTGTCATGATCGGGAAAAAACGGAAGAATCATCCGTCATCAATTCAGTGTATAAATAATGAACAATAAGTATGGAAGACATTAGTCATTATTTGACTCAATGATGAATTGCATCTACTAACAAGGTCATTATATCGACCGCAGAACTAAAAAATGCTGATATTCTTGTTTCATCGGCTAGTTTGTCAATAACTTAACTCCTTTAAGATATAAGAGTTGTAATTCACACTCTAAAATATTTTCCTTTTTACCCAGGTTCATTCCGAAATATAATTGTTCTTGATCGAGGTTAACTTTCCTTAAATAAAACAAATTGTAGGGTTTCAACAATTTATTATACAAAAACATGGAAAAATGAAAAATCATGTAGTACCTGATTCAGGTGGAAAAGTTGTTAACCCTAGACCTAGTCAGTGAGTAGATACATTACTGATAATATAAAGCCAACAGAATAAAAGAAGTGAAAGTGACTAATAGATACTTTTAATGCTTGACTGACAATTGACCACCGATAGCCAAATATTTATCTCTCTATAGAGCTGTATTATAGCTATCTTACCTAAAAATTAAAACAAAGATTTCAACATTAATTTTTTGGTTTTATGAGTGTAAAGTCTGAAAGATGAAATGTATAAGCATCCTTTTCATTAAATTATACGGAATTAAGTCAATACTGATGCCAAAATATACCCAAACAATGATAACTTCTACCATCTAGGGGAGCTAACCAAAATAGACAACTTCGAGATGAATCTCGAGCGTGACTGAAATAAAGAGAGATCCTAATGACTGATTTTCATGTTTTCAATAATATTCAATTGAAAAATGAGAAATTGTATGATAATTAGGCCTAGTCAAAAATATACTAAATTTACTCTCTTTTATAAACTTGTAACGCTTCATTCTACATAAATCACAACATGACAAATATGTCTCCGATCCCGATGAAGACACATGCATTTTTAAAAAAATATTGTGGGAATTTGTGCGACTCTCTAGAGAATCAGTTTATTCATGAAAAAATTATCAATTATGTTAAAAATCGTTAGAAAGTACTTTATCGTACTTTTCTCTAGATCTTAAGGAGGCTAGGTGGTCAACAAATTATTTTTTTATTAACGAACAGATATACCTTACATTTTGGGATATGGTATCTTAAGCTATCAACTATCATTTGGCAAAGAAAAAATTCATAAATTTTAATTTTAAAATTTGATCATTTTATTGTATCTTTATATGGAGCTCTTCTTCTAAAGGAGATCAAAATAGTCTAAAAATTGCCACGACCACCCAAGCTCTTGAAATGAATTTATGAAATCTTTCGCATATGCTGTGCTATTCATTGAAAGTACATTTCCTTAAAAGTATCTTTATGAAATGATTTTTATGTAGATTAAGAGAAATAATATATTATAAAAGCTTCCTGTTACTTACTTAATCAGTTACTTTCGATTGACATTGCTAAGATCCAGTGTATTCAATTTCACTTCAATGTTAACGAATTGTGCCTTCCATATGTTACTTTTTTTTTATAGATAAAATGGTGTCAAGTGGAATACCTATGTTTAATCTGAATACCTTTAATTTTATGGAAAGCCAAAAGTGAAATCTACTACAAAGAATTGTACATGTATGTACGTAGAACATGCTCTTGTGTATAGAATAAACTTAGAGGTATATACTCCGTATGCAGGTGATGACGATACATGTAATTTGCTGCATAAGTATAAAAAGTTGATGATTGAAAAGTTAAAGTCATAACTTTTAGCATAAAGCTTGGTTGTTAGAGTATTATTTACATCTTTTTCTTGTAAAATATCCAAATATGAAACAGATGTGTCAGACTTTGTTATCTTTTATCTCAAGCTGACAGGAACATATAGTATCAAGATAAGGAGGTAAGCGACCATTATTGATTGATAAAACGACGTCCATAATTGTATAATGTCAAGTTTCTTTTCATGTATAAGATTTTGGAAAAGAATCTGGGTGGATTAGGCGAGTCATATGCCTACGCAAGGGCAAGCAAAATATCGATCAAATAAAATCGTGCAAATTCCACTTTTTGTTGAATTTGGGAGTTATTTATAACCATATGCATACAGTAAAGATGAAACTTGAATCAAATTACTTACTAATTGAAAGGGGGAGCAAAACCAACAAAAAAGGCAAACCCCACTTTTAAATGCCTATATTATGTTTGTCTTTGCAAGAAATTGCCCCCCCCCCCGTTCTGACGCCTATGCGTATCCACGGTTTCAAGGAGATTGAGAATTGAATATGTACAATTTCCGACAGTGTTGCGATTAAACGCAGTATATGTAGTACTCGATTGATTTAACACTTGTCGATAAAGGGGGAGAAAAATAAATGTTAGGTTATGATGATCTTCCTTTCTTAAACTTTTCTATTTGCATATTAACTTCTTTTTATGAAAGTTACATGATCGAGTTTATAGTGAACAAAGCAAGCTCTGAAATGCTTTGATACATGTATTTCATCACTGTAATTTTTCTTTAAATGAATGATTTTTTTCTTGGCTACATTGAAGCAGTTTCTTCTCTTCAATCCTATAATTTGTGCACAATGATCTCGATGTCGGCCAAAGTGTATACCGGTATATAAAAAAGAGAGTTGGATAAAAATGAGAAGAAAATTAGAACGATGGACAAGTAGACTTAGCAAAATAAGATGTATTATTTTGAAAATTTTGAGCCATATTTATTTTAATCTTAGCATAAAATGAATGATAGTCAAAATATGTTATCAAATGTCGTGTGTGCACATGGTGAGGCACAGACGCTGGAACTGAGTGGGTGGGGGGGGGGGGGTTGCAGGCGTAGGATTAGCTCCCTTTTTACTTTCAACAGGCATGTTGTATTGCAGTCAAAAAAGAGTAAGTAGTAGTGTTAAAAAATGGCAATGAAAAAAGTTCGACCCCCTCACACCCCACCCCACCCCCAACACACACACATACAAAAGTGTTAAAGTACTTTTTTTGCATGAGGG